AATTTAGGTCGGGTCAATAACAAGTCGTGTTAATTTCGAATTGAGTTAGTAACAAATCAGGTTGAATATTTGGGTCGGGCCGGGTAAGTAATAGGTCTGGTAAAATTCGGGTCGGGTCAATAACAAGTTGGGTTTAATTTGGGTAAGGTCAATAACAAGTCAGGTTGATTTCGGGTCGGGTTTGTAACAGGTTCGGTTAAATTCGAGTCAAGTTAGAAACGAGTCGGGTTGAATTCAGTTCAGGTTAGTAACAAGTCGGGTTAAATTCGGGTTTTGACGGGTTAAAACAGGTTTGGATCAATTTCGGTTCTAGTCGGATTCGGTGCAAGTTAATTAAATTGGCCATTGTAAACCGTTAAATCGGTGTAAGTTGTAAACCGGTAAAATGGTCGTTTAAAGGAAAATTGGATGGTTCTACCCACCTAATTCACTAATTGGACTCCCGAAGGGTATTAGGGACCATGTTAAAAATTTCGGCAATTTTTATTTCGGGCGAAAAAAAAGTCAAAAAATTCCAAAACTGAAGTCTAATATCCACGCTTTTTGAGAAAATTTGGAGGTTTAGGGACACATTGGTTAAAAGTCTTGAAATTTTAGGGAATACGTCTCGGGGTCATATAATATCATTAAGAACCATATATGATCATTATTTGTTATCATAAGTGTTCGTGGTAGGCTTAAATTAATGAAATCAGTGCAAGTTGTTAACCGGTAAATTGGTCGTTAAAAGGCAAATTGGATGGTTCCACCCATCTAATTGGACTCCCAAAGGGTATTAGAGGCCATGGTAAACATTTCAGAAGTTTTTATTTCAGGACGAAAAAAGTCAAAAAATTCAAAAATTGAAGTTTAATATCCACGCATTTTGTGAAATTTTGGAGGTTTCGGGGCCCGATATCAAAAAGCCTTGAAATTCTAGGAGATAAATATCATGGTCATCCATATAATGCCGTTTGGAACCATATATAATCATTATATGTTTTCATAAATGTTCGTGGTAGGCTTGAGTTAATGAAATCAGTGTAAGTTGCAAATCGATAAATTGGCTGTTTAAAGGAAAATTGGATGGTTCCACCACCTAATTGAACTCCCGGAGGGTTTTAGGGACCATGTTAAAAATTTCGGCAATTTTTACTTTCAGGCGAAAAAAAGTCAAAAAATTCCAAAATTGAAGTCTAATATCCACGTTTTTTGAGAAATTTTGGAGGTTTAGGGACCCAGTGTTGAAAAGTCTTGAAATTTTAGGGAATACATCTTGGGGTCATATAATACCATTAAGAACCATATATGATCATTATTTGTTGTCATAAGTGATCGTGGTAGGCTTAAGTTAATGAAATCGATGCAAGTTGTAAACCGGTAAATTGGTCGTTAAAAGGCAAATTGAATGGTTCCACCCATCCAATTGAAATCCCGAAGGGTATTAGAGGCCATAGTAAAAATTTCAGCATTATTTATTTCAGGACGAAAAAAGTCAAAAAATTCCAAAATTAAATCCATGCATTTTGCGAAATTTTGGAGGTTTCAAGACCCGTTGTCGAAAAGTCTTAAAATTTTAGGAGATACATCTCGGGTTCATATAATGCCGTTTGGAACCATTTATCATCATTTTATGTTTTCATAAATGTTCGTGGTAGGCTTGAGTTTATGAAATTAGTGCAAGTTGTAAACTGGTAAATTGGTTGTTTAAAGGCAAATTGGATAGTTCAACCAACCCAATTGGGCCTTGGAGGGTATTAGGAACCATGGTAAACATTTCGGCAATTTTATATCTGGATGAAATAAAGTAAAAAATTTCCAAAATTGAAGGCATTATACACGTTTTTTTAGACATTTCGAAGGTTTCGGGGCTTGGTGTTAAAAAACAATGAGATTTTATGAGATACATCTCTGGGTCATATAATGCCGTTTAGAACCATATTGATCATTATATGTTGTCATAAATGTTTGTGGTAGGCTTGAGTTAATGAAATCAATGCAAGTTGTAAACCGGTAAATTGGTGATTATTTAAAGGCAAATTGGATAGTTCCACCCAACCAATTGGACTCCCGGAGTGTATTAAGGACCATGGTAAACATTTCGCCTATTTTATTTTTGGTCGATAAAAAGTCAAAAAATTCCAAAATTGAAGGCTTATCCACGTTTTTGAGAAATTTTGGAGGTTTTGGGCCTGGTGCCGAAAATTCTTTAGATTTTAGGGGATACATATCGGGGTCTTATAATGTCATTTTGAACCATATATGATCATTATATATTGTCATAAATATTCGTGGTAGGTTTGACTTAATGAAATCGAAGAAGTTGTAAACCAGTAAATTGCCCGTTTAAAGGCAAATTTGATGGTTCCACCCACTCAATTGGATTCTCGGGGGGTATTAGAGACCATGGTAAACATTTCGGCAATTTTTATTTTCGGGCGAAAACAAGTCAAAAAATTAAATAATTCAAGGCTATATCAACGCTTTTTGAGAATTTTTGGAGTTTTCGAGGTCCGGTTTTGAAAAGTCTTGAAATTTTAGGGAATACATATCGGGATCATATAATGTCGAGCCATATATGATCATTTTATGTTGTCATAAATGTTCGTGGTAGGCTTGAATTAATGAAATCGGTGCAAGTTGTAAATCGTTAAATTGGTCGTTTAAAGGCAAATTGGATGGTTCCACCCACCCAATTGGACTCCAGAAGGGTATTAGGGACCGTGGTAAACATTTCGGCAATTTTTATATCCCGGCGAAAAAAAGTCAAAAAATTCCAAAATTGAAGGCTAATATCCACTATTTTAAGAAATTTCAATTGTTTCGGGCTAGGTGTCGAAAAGTATTGAGATTTTAGGGGATACATCTTGGGGTCATATAATGCCGTTTGGAACCATATATGATCATTATATATTGTCATAAATGTTCGTAGTAGGCTTGAGTTAATGAAATCGGTGCAAGTTGTAAACTGGTAGTTTGGTCATATAAAGGCAAATTGGATGGTTCCACCTTGCCAATTGGACTACCGGCGGGTATTAGGGACCATGGTAAACATTTCGGCAATTTTTATTTTCGGGTGAAAATAAGTCAAAAAATTCCAAAATTGAAGCTAATATCACGCTTTTTTGAAATTTTGGAGGTTTCGGGTAGAGCTGTCATTTCGGTTAAACGGGTCGGGTTTAGGTCGATAAGACTGGATTGGGTCATCTCGGGTCGGGTCAATTCGAATTAATTCCATAACTTATGCGGGTCAAGTTTGGGTTGGGTCATGCTTGAGTCGGGTTACGTTGGGACATACTTCTTATCGGGTTTGGGTCGGGTTTAGGTCGGATTAATAACAGATCGAGTTACGTACATTCGATTCGGGTGAACAATAAGTCGGGTTTAATTCGGGTTTTCACAGGTTAAAACGGGTTAGGGTAATTTTCGGGTTCGAGTCGGGTTCGGTTCAAGTCAATAATTTGCGGGTTAGAATCAGGTCGGGTCATTCTCGGGTTTGAGTCGTATTCGGTTCAAGTAAATAATTTGCGGGTTATAATTAGGTCGGGTCATTTTCAAGTCGGGTCAGTCTCGAGTTCAAGTCGGGTTCGGTTCAAGTCAATAATTTGCGGGTTATAATCAGGTTGGGTCATTTTCAAGTTGGGTCATTCTCGGATTTAAGTCGGGTTATGTTCAAGTCAATAATTTGCAGGTTACAATCAGGTCGGGTAATTTCCAAGTCAGGTCATATTCGGGTTCAACTAACTATAAATAGATAATTATCATTTTTATTAAGCTAATTATTTCCTTTGACTATAATATATATGACAATATACTAGGGAACTATAGTCTATAATTTAGGAAGATACTTATCTCCTTTGACCATACAACAAATATAATATATACTATATTTAATTCTTAAATTTGAGGATGATGCTCCTTTCTTTTGCTGGCCTGGACCGACTTGGTCTCCTTAGACAAAATGCTTTGATCAACAATAATAAGGTGGTCTAAATTGCATTTAAGGTGATTTGAAATCGGGTCAGGAACAATTTGGTTTGAATTTAGGTCAGGTCAACAACAAGTCGTGTTGATTTTGATCGAGTCGAGTTAGTAACAGATCGGGTTGAATTTTTTTGACGGGTTAGTAATAGGTCTGGTAAAATTCGGGTCAGGTCAATAACAAGTCGTGTTGAATTTGGGTCAGGTTAATAACAAGTCGAGTTGATTTCGGGTCAGGTTTGTAATAGGTTGGGTTAAATTTGGGTCGGGTTAGGAACGGGTTGGGTTGAATTCGGGTCAGGTTAGTAACAAGTCGGGTTAAATTCGGGTTTTGACGGGTTAAAATGTCGGGTTTGGTTCAGGTTAATAATTTACGGGTTACATTCGGGTCGGGTCATCTCCAGGTCAGTTCATGTTCGGATTTGGGTCTCACATACTTGGGTCAACTCGGGTCTAGAGTTTGTTTCAGGTCGGGTCAAGGCGGGTTTGGGTCACCATTTTTTCGGGTTCAGATGGTTCGGTTAATAATCGGGTTTGAGTCGGTATTTCGGGTCGGGTTAACTTTTGACAAATCTATATGGATTATAGGGAGTAGAGTTTGTTCTCCGTACCAATTTAATATGGATTAATTTTGGTCATAATTTTTTTGTCAATAATATTACAGTTTACCAAATATAAAAGATGTCCACGATATCACTCAAGATATTACGAAGCATTTTAGTACAAACTCTTTCATCAGAAATAATGGAAATCAATTTTACATACATCATTTTGATACATTGAGATGATTTCAACAAGCGAAATATTGACACGACAACATACATACATTTCTAAACACCAAAAAAAAAACATGCATACATCTCTTTCTTATGTATAGTATAAATTACATATATCAATGAAAATAGATTATATTACCCCCGTTAAAGGTTATGTGCAACGATTTGACATAAAGTAGAGGGGAAAAATGTCTAATCGTTGCACATAATCTGTTACGGAGGTAGTATAATAATGCAAAAATCAAAATTGTAAAATTAAAAAAAATGAAAGGGGTACTAAGGACTTGTTCTATTCATCTTAATTTCAGTTCAGTTCAATTCAACTCCAATCAGTTCAGTTTCTAATTTCCTTATTTTATAGACAAATTTCAGCTCTATTTAGTTTAATTTAGCCCCAATCAGTTCAGTTCAGTAAATCGAAATAGACCCTAATTTCAACAAAGAAACGAGGATTTTATACGAGAAAAAGGAAAAAAAAAAAAAAAGCAAAGCAAAACAAAATATATACGCGTACCTAATCTGAAAAGCATGAAACTAACTGTTGTTTCTAGTTAGTACGGACTATATAAAGACAGTCCAACATTGAACATACGTTTCAACAACTTCATATTACATAATTCTTCCAAACTCAGAAATGTAGAGAGAGAGAGAAAATCAAATAAATAAATAAATACAAAATTTAGTGAGAGAAAAATAACAAAGGGAAGAAATTAAAGAAAAACATCATCTAAGAAAAGCTTCCTTGCAAATCTCATGAACTGTGGTGTCGTCTTGGGTTTCTACTGCTGGGGTTGGGAGTTCTTAACTGCCCTTCTTCTTTTCTCAACCCTTTTTTATTCTTCTTTTTAATCATATTTTTTTCTTCCTTTTGTTTTATTTTTAACAAATTTCTAAGATTTTTATTCCTTTCTTTTATAACATAAAAAAGGGTTAAGAAAATTAGTATTTTTTGTAAAGCACAAAAACATAAAAAAAAAAAAAAAAAGATTTTAATGGAAGGTGTTTGTGAGAAGGGGTTGTTTGAGTATGGAATAATTAGGAAATCAAATCCACCACCCTTTTTGTTGAAGACATACATGCTTGTGGATGATCCCGAGACCGACACCGTTGTATCGTGGAACGAAGGCGGTACCGCCTTCGTGGTGTGGCAGCCGGCCGAGTTTGCCCGGGACTTGCTCCCTACTTTCTTCAAGCATTGCAACTTCTCTAGCTTTGTTAGACAACTCAATACTTACGTAAGTTTTGCTAAACTATTATTGTTATAGTCAACTTTAATGGTTAATTTTAAAACATAATTTTATGTACACTTTGAGCAATTTTGTAACATTTTAAAATTGACTAGTCATATAATGTAGTAAATATTTATTAAAAAATGTCTAGTCTATTTTTAAAGGTATATAAGCATAATTTTAATAATTAGAAAAATTAATCAAAATTAGGAACATCATTTTGATCTTTAATTATGATTATGTTGATCTTAATGTTGTTGTTTGTTGTTGCGGGTTTGCCAAGTTTATTTAATCATGATTAACAAATGGGAAAAGGATTAAAGGTTAAAAGCTATTGTCAACAAGTTGATTATGATTGTAGTTGGTATTTGTCTGTTTGTAACAAAGATATAAGTTAATTAATCCTTCAAGTTACGTTTACTTGGGTAATTACAATTTTATAGATTTACTTTAGGTAAACAACAATGTAAATATTTTGTATTTCATTTGTCTTGAAAAGTTTAGTAAGCGGTCACATGTACTATTTTAGGATATTGAGACTATGATGAGTAAAGTTCGTCATGCTATATTACCGAGTAATACATAATGATTTATAAGTCGTAATCTTGAATCGAACAAATGTAAAATATAATTAAATGGTTACCTAATGATACCTTACTGGACAAAATTACATTTAAATCTTATTATTAATATTTCCTATAATACAAGTATTATAGTAATGGTTTATCTAATGTATGTAACTATTATGTAACACTTTGCTAAAAAAAAAATTGATTATGAGTGTTAATTATAAAATCCATACCCATTTTCAAAATTGTTCATAAACTATTTTACTCTGTACTCCCTCCGTCCCTGATTGATAGTCACTTTTACTAAAAAAAATCACGGGAATTAAGGAGAAATAAAGAAAGTACATTGAAAAAATAAATTCACATTGGGTATGCAAAAAACTAGAGAGAGAAAGTAATTAAAGTATATAGGAAAGTAAAATTTACATGGAAAAGTTAAATTTGCACAAATATTTTTGCAAATGTTACAGAATTTTGGTAAAAAATAATATTAATGGAACTTGAAAAAAGCAAATGTGACTAACATTTTTAGTCACCAAAAATGGCAAAAGTGACTATTAATTGGGAACGGAGGGAGAATTAATTTTCTTTCCATATTTTAATGATTGTAATTAATATACAAATAATACAGAGTAATTGCAATTTTGTAGACATACATGCATCTCTCCTTTATAGGATGGATTAAGTTAATTCTTTTTTTATTTTTGGTAATTTAAATGAGTTTAGTGAAATTTAATATAGGTTGAATAATGAGAAGTTGAAGGACCCTCATTATTAGTCCTACATATCATTAATATTATTGATAAGATAAATATGGATAATTAGCAATAAACATTTAATTATTCAAATGATAAAATAATGAGCTTAATTAATCCAAGTCAAATAATGAAAGTTTCAAGTAATAAAAAATTTCATCAACCCAATACTATGACTTAACACTTATTTGCTATGTTTTCGATAAAAAAACCTTTTATATGCTAAATTCCGAGATTTAGGGCCTGTTCTGATTGACTGAACTAAGTTGAACTGAACTGAACTGAATATTTTATGTGAGAAGAAAATTAAAAATTATACTGAACTGAATTGAAAATAATCTGAAGAGAACATGCCCTTATAGACCCGGATAAAAGGTATAAGAAAAATCTTCATCTCATAAACCATGACTCTTAAGGACCAAACTCCTAATTATAAGATCACAAGATAATTAACTTTCTATCTAAGTTCTAAAAATTACACCCTTGATATATAAACAAAATTGATAAAAAAAATCTTACATACATTCAAGTACACATAAAAGTACGTGCACCTAAATTAACAGGGATACCGGATACGAATAGTAATATCCATTTGATATGTGTAAAGTACTAGTTTTGTACTATTTGCTTACAAAGTAAATGGTCAAATACTGTGAATATGATGGGGCTAGATGAGTCAAACTCTGAACGAGAAATTTGGAAATTGGAAGTATCAATCATCTCTTTTTTAGCTTTGTTCTAGATTAAGCTGGATAATGTGGAATAGCCACTTGACTTTTTTTTTTTTTTTGCAGCATTAAATGTCACTTGAACATTCGTCTTATTCTAATAGTAATTTTTTTTAGAGGAAAACAATAAAGGGAAAATTTGACGAAGAAAATAGAAAAAAAAAAAAAAAAAAAAAGAGGGGGTTGGTAGGTTTTGTATTCTACACGTTTTCTTTCCTTATTTTCTTAATAAGGTGTCAATTTTTTAAATTGCGGAATTGGTAACATCTTTGGAAAAATGTATAGAAAAGAATAAAGTTGAAACCTTTATTTATTTTAGTTTTAAATCCATGGGCTGCCCTTCTATTGATCAAATTATGTAGTAGGTGGTGTAATTCGTCAATTTTATGGTTTGAGATTCAATACTTATATTGTCTATATTTGATGACACTTGATCGTGTAGCATACATATGTAGCTTTCTCCTTATTGATACATTATACATTATGTTAGGTATAAGTGTGAGTAGAATTTGTCCTACATTGAAAAAGAAAGCAAATATCTTTCGATTTATAATCTACGTTGCATAACTACGGCTACTAACACAGATACGGATATAAAACGAATACGAGAAAACGACTATCTCAAAATAAGTGACACGGGTATGAAATGTTAAAATTCATGTAATATATTTTTTAAAAGAGTTTGACCATATATTTGTCATTTCGCCTCCTCATTAGATCATATATCATATTAACAATGTGATTTATATGAAGACACTCCTATTATTTAATAATTACCTTACATATCTTAATTTACTTAAATTTTCTCATTTTAAAAAGTTGAACAACCCCATATCATAGTAGGATACAGTCCGAGACGTATCGTCGCGTGTCCCACGAGTGTCGGTGTCTGACACGGTGTCCGACACGGATAGTTGGATGAAGTGTCCATGCATCCTAATTTATAATCCAAGCAGTTTATTCCTCCTATTGTCAATTAATTTTAAAATGAAACCTCGTTGTGGGCTTTGGTTTATGGCTTATCTCTCTTGTGTCCTCTCTTATAGTACTAATATTGGGTTATTTGTATGGACCAATAAAATAATCGTTTTCCCATTTGCCCTCAGTTATTTCTTCAATATATGCCCTATTTTCTCTATAATCATGCACTATTTTATTTAATCAGCTTAAATAATATTGTGTATTTCCTGTTTTCATACTCAGGGGTTTAGGAAAGTGGCAACAAGCAGATGGGAGTTCTGCAACGACATGTTCCAAAGAGGCAAGAAAGAATTGATAGGCCAAATTCGACGTCGGAAAGCCTGGGCACACCGTCCACAACCACCAACGGTTGCAGCCAACCCAACAAACTCCGAAGCTCCTCCAAATAAACATGATGAAGATCAAAGATCCTCATCAACTTCATCATCCTCTGAGCTCAACATTCTAGTGGATGAAAACAAGAGACTAAAGAAGGAAAACGGGGTGCTAAGCTCAGAGCTCACAAACATGAAGAACAAGTGCAAGGAGCTACTTGACTTGGTCGCGGTCTACACAAACCGAAAGGAAGATCAAAGCCAAGGCAGCAACAGCAACAATGATGATGACGAAAACTACGAAAAACAGCCAAAGCTGTTTGGGGTAAGATTACAAGTCCAAAGTGAAAAAGAGAGAAAGAGGAAGAGGTCAGAAGAAGTTTATGAGACGGCAAGACTTTTATTATCTCAATCATGCAAGTAACAAGGCTGCAAATATGAATACAAGTCCATTATTAGAACTTGGTTTAATTTAGCTGTCTTAGTCTTAGAAATTTATCCTGATGAAAACTACAGTTCAGTTAATTACAAGTATGATTATTGAACTTTAATTAGTGAAGAATTCAGGAACATAATTGTAGATAAATGTTTGTTCTAGTTCACAAGTAAACTAGAAATTATGAATAAAGGTTGACATATGATATAGTTTATAACTTTATATTGGCTTATTAGTCTTTCTTTCACTCTAAAAGATATGATTGTGAACTAATAAATAGAAAGGTACTTGTTCTACACTTTAGAATGTGATCAAGAGAAGGTAAATAAGTGAAATAACAATCAAATCACGCTATCAGATATTTCAGTTGAATTTTCTGTAAAACCCTCTTTCTTTTCAATCTAGATCACCTGTTTCAATGATGGATTTTCTGCTTGTATGAACCAAAAATGTATTTGGACTAAGTGACTAACCCTAGCCACAAGCCATAAAGAAACATCTTTTGCAATAGAAAATGACATACTAGTATTTGTCTTCATAATAACTATACTAAGTCGGCTGTCACTTAACTACTTAAGCAAGTTAAAAATGACAGTTACTTAATAAACTTAGATTGCTTCATTTTTTTTTCTAGAAAATGTGCATACAACACGGGTAATTCCAAGTTTCTCTTCTTGATAAACAAGAAGCGTTTCTCATGAGGGTAAATTTGGAATTACCTGTTGACGGAGTGAACCTACCGTTACCCCCTTGTTCAACTTACCCCCTTTTGCAATTTACCACTGTTGTGAGTACTGCCCAGAATTAATTCCCACCTCCGGCGATAAATCGTCGAAAGCGGGAGACAAATTTGAGGTGTCGATCAATTCAAAGGACTGCTAACAGTAGGAATAAGCTTCAATGGAGGGAATTGAGTCTAGAACGAGGAATTCGAACTCGACGACAGCTTCAATGGAGGAATTATTCAAGTTCGATGACAGCGTCAATGGAGGAAGGTAACCCTTACCCTTTGGGGTTAACCATGCCATAAATTTTACCCTTTCTTATTGGGTTTTTCGTTTGATTTTGGCGGCGAAGCCGCCTATGTTCGCCGCCGATAATGGTGGTTGTCCCCGGTGTAGACGAAAGAGGAAGATGATGGGTGACGGTGGGGACGAAGAGGAAGATGATGAGGTGACGGTGGGGACGAAAGAGGAAGGTGATGGTGGAGGTGTTTGTTGTCGGTGGAGGTGGAGGTGAAGGCAAGCTGAAATGGAACGCCGCTAACGTTACACCATGTAACGGCGTCTTCATTAGTCCAGGTGACTTCCTCAATGGAACTCACAGTCAGCATTTATTCAGCTTAAAAACCATTTGTTTACAATTCCCTAGGCGTTTTTATTACACATTTGCCACTAGAGAAACACTTCTTGTTTATCAAGAAGAGAAACTGAGGCGCCCCCATACAACACTTTGTTAGCAAATAAGGTGCTAAAAGTGGGAATATTAAGCTATATCAAAGATTATTTAGACCTATCGACCAACACCATGTTTTTTTTTCTTCCAGCAATCCTAAATTAAGAATTTAGGACTCCCGTAATAAAAATGACAGATTATGAAAATGTACAAATGGGTATTTTTTAAGGAATTCTGGAACTTAAAATAAGCTATATTCCTTAAAAAAAAAAAAAAAACACCCAAGATATTGTTTCCACTCATTAATTTATGCCCGATTTTTTTTGGTTTTACAATGATATTGGCAATGAGTGATAGACTCATAGAGCCAATGAGTCTTAGGTGTTGAACAATTCAGAATAGTCTAAATTTTGGAATCTCGGGGCTAGGAAATTACTTATCGTATATTGGACAGTGAGACGCAATATTTGGGTCTTTATCTTATATATTGGACACTGATTATCTAGGGACTCAAGTCACATTGCTGATCAAAATCGAACAATTCCCCACAATATAGTTCCTTGGGTTCAAATGTTAGTCCCTCGGGTTAACAAAAAGTTAGTCCATTACATAAATTATTTTTTGCGTTTGTCAAGGGGATGGAAAGAGTTAACTCAAGCAAACAAAGTGGCCAAAACGACGTCACTTCTTGAGCACTTCTGCAATTGTACAAGCTCATCCATGGCTTCAACTGCCATATATGCTATTCGATATCTTCAACTTTACGAAACCAATTAGATGTGAAACACATATCATAATTTCAATTAGATTGATTCACATTTAACTTGTTAATAATATACATAAATATTCACTCAATATGTTGGTTATACAAGATAAAACAAAATCAAAATTTGTGCTCAATCACTGTATAATTATGAGGTTAATATGAACAAACTATTGTGGTCTCTACCTATTGCAGGCACGTCAGTGACACTAACCTTAAGTTTGCCTCAACAAGATACAGAAGCCTCCTAGTATTCAAGTTAGCATATATCATCACGAGTTAGCAGCAAAGTGATTAAAAATGGTCTCCAAAGTGGATTGACTGATGCTATATTCTGCTATACCAACTTGAGTCCTGCAAGAGTATTTTCCATACAAGTTATAAACAAAAAAGAGAGGCAGGATGATTAATAAATTTAGCAATTCTTTACCTGTTCCGTTCGATGTGACCAAAAGCATCTGCCAATGACAGATCCTCGCCAAATGGTAACTGCAAAGAAAAAGTTTATCACATACTAACTTGATTTGAAGCAGCTGACCAAGAAACAGATGAACATCAATGACTTTCTACTAGGTATTTAAATGTCAAATTATGGTTCAAATTGGCCAGAAAAGAACTCCATTGAACATAAATGTACATTTGCAAGATACAGTGGCAAATCCATGTTGGTTTGAGTACACACGCAGATCCTTTTTGGTTGGGACCAAAGGTTTACCCCTTCCATCCCGTTTGCACCAATTTCCTTAAGCTGCAGATTACTCCCTCTATCCCGTAGTTTGCACCAATTTCCTTATGAGTTTGTACTTTTTAGTTTGCCCCATAATATTAATAACCATGGGGACAATCACTTTACTCTGACCAAACAAAAGGGAAGGGAGGGATTATTACCTATGATGCAAAGCTGTGCCGGTGTACCCAGATATCAGAAACACTAATTGGGGGGACAGAATTGAATGTCTAATGCAATAATGCTAGAGAATTATAATACGGATACTATGAGGGATATAATAAGGCAATTGCACAGACTGGATCACAAGTCACTGAAATCATACAATCTAGACAAGTTGGACATAAGGGATGAAAGGCAAAAAGGCTTATTGATCAAAGCAGAAAAAGTCATAGGATCAGTTTTCCTTCACACAGTATTTTGAGATCAGAGTGCAACTGTGGTATAGTGGTATTTTTACTCCAATCAAGATAAGCCAACAAGACCAATCATTATTCCAGACATTTTAAGTGACAACATCCACAAGCTAATCTCAAAATCTATAACTAAAGTATTTGCACGAATATTTACCACTTTCTTTGCCCTATAATTACAATAACATTGGATGGCAGGTAGCAAATGAAAAAAACAATAAAAAAATTATCAAGGATAAGAGAAGAAAAGCAGCAAAAATTTCCAGTACCTGGTATCTAGCACTCAATCCATTGCACCCCTGAAAAGTAGAACCAGGAAATGATGATAGAATAAAGGACTCTATTACACTGAACTTGTCCTTTGTCAACCACCATTCAGTGAAAACCGGTAACGGGATGCCACCTACAAAAAAGCATAATCAAGTTAAAAAATGCATCACTTCTATTCTTATAGCTAGAAGCACAACATAGCTTTCTATGAAAGGAAAGCTCAAAATAGTTTCGACAAGCAGTACATGAATATTTCAAAGAATCAGAGCGAGAAAAAAATAGCTTAATTAGAACAATAGTTACAGGCTTACAGCCCTACTACACCGGTAGTAAAATAGCTTGCATGAGTTCAATCTCACTTTGGGAAGTAAAATTTGACATTAAATCTACTCAGCTAGTTTATATCGTGTTCTTGCACCAATATATCATGAGAATTTGTCATACAAGACAAAGCGCTCAAGAATTTAATAAATATCGCAAGCGTCTTAGGTGGATTAATTCTAGGGAGGTTTTCAGTTTATCATACTGCATCACATTGACAATTGCAGTGAAACTGATTAATTTAATAAAATATCATAGGGGACAAGCTACGACTATCAATATGAAGACGATTTCTTTGTTGTGAGATAAAAAATAAATGTCCCATCTGTCATCTGCACATGCTTCAAGGAAGGTGAATAAGAAAACAAAAAATAATTTGGTTGATTAAAGGTGAATATAACAAACACGATAGTGGAGTTTGGTTGATTTAAAATTTAAAATTGAATAACAGAAGAGGATACTAGAATTTGGTTGTTTAAAAGTGAATTTAAAATTAGCAAAGGTGAATTAAACTTTTATACAGGGACAAATAGTTTTTGGGTGAAAAGAGACTTTTATTTGAGGACGGAGGGCGTATAAAATTTGCTGCTAGCAAGTTGGGAAATCAAGTAAGCTAGTTAAGTCCACCAAAATATCAGATCGCAATGCCCTACACAATCCATATAGGGCTGGCGATATTTTCTAGTTGAGAAACAAATCCAAAATTGAATTACAAATATTCTAAAACCATGGTTTGGGTATTTTGATTTGACCCTAGTTCGAACGTTTGATACGATTTCCTTTCATATCTCGGTGGTGAAGGGATGGAGGACTAGGACAGAAAGTAAGAGCGCCACTTTTGGCACAATGGGCCTCTTGTTGGAGGCCTGCATGACGAAATAATAACTCAGTAGTAAGGGCACGGAGCCCCTCAAAATTGCATGGGAAGTTAGGGCTTTCAACCCCTAAATCAAATAGTGAACTGTATATGCTTTCTGCTCTTTGGTAGTTTGAAAAATTCACAACTGTAAGTAATCAGCTATCTTAACTAAATAATGTACCAAATCCACAATGCAGTGAAATCAAACATTAGAATATGTATATTAGACGATGAACCCATACTCTTCCTCTTGAATGACCATTAAATCAAAAATATAAAAAGGATTATTGATTCTCTTTAGTCCATCAATCATGGGTATTATAACATTGTGCAACCAAGGCACCAAGTTCTCATTACCTTGATTTAAAAGGCAATGAATTTTCATCACTAATATCAATTCATAATGCAGACCATCTACAAATATCAATTAGTTGGCAAAGAAGTTAGCAGGACACATGCACGAAAAACACTGAAAACTTTGTCTGAAAAAGAAAATCCACTTCATTTCTGCAATTATTGCTAAGCTTCCGGACCAAGTGCATACACTGTTGCCCCTTCATAATCCAGATTATATCTCAATTATAAATATATTGAAATTAAAATTACAAATCCACATTTTAAACCAAGACATGAAATTAGCAGGTAATCATACTATTCAACATGCAAGCTTCAACTATAAATATATGATCCAATCACTTTTAATGAAAAGAAAAACCATAAGCAGCTACATATACAGTAAGAAAAAGCAGAGATTGAGGGAAGAGGCCATACCATCACGGATCAGTTGATCTGATAACTGTTCACTTAACATCTTATCAGATGCCATACTTGAATTTATTAGAGTACCTACTCGTTCTTCATTGCCAAGACATCGAGCTATCATCACTATCAAGTCTCTTGACAAGCTGATTTCAGCTACCGGTATACTGTCAGCTGTGATATCATCAGCAGTCCCAATGCAAGTCTCCAAGTCTCCTAGTAAGCTTTTAGGATGAGATGGAACTTCAGCAAGCTTCTCTTGAATCATCAACGATAGAGCTTCCAGTTGCTCAGACTTTACTTCCGTTGGTTTTATCTGAAAAACAGAGGTAAAGTTGTAAGATATCCTCAGTTACTCACATGTTGTCTCTTTTCTACTTTCTTGTGCAATATACAATTTTCCTTCCAGAGGGATTAGAGTTGAAAATATGATTAGTACCTCCAGCTCAAGATGATTTCCAAATCGTGTCTTCAAATGCTGTGGACTTCCAATACATCTTAAACGTCCCCCAACCTTAAAATCACAATAGTTAAATAATATGGTCACTAAAAGCTGCAAATTAAAAGTGGAGCTTAAAAAAGACAATGAATAATATTCTTCTTACCATTATTCCCATCCTGGTGCACAGTGCCTGGGCTTCATTCATGCTGTGTGTAGTGAGTATAACTGCTGTTTTCCCTCGTCTTGTAGATAGGTGGGAAATAACATCCCACATGAATCTTTTAGCTATAGGATCCATGCCTACAGGGATAATTAATTACACAGAATAAATTCATCTTTAGTTGAGCCTCAACATATTTTGAAAGAGGGGAGTGGCCAGGTGAAGGGGGGGGGGGGGTTGGGGTGGGGTGGAGAGAATCAGATCAAGACCATCAAGTCTGCACACCATTAGCTAAGAGCAATACCAATTGAGAGTTCATAACACATTATAATTCTCAAAAGATCATTCGATTAAGATTAAGACATAATTGTTTTGAAGAATATCAACAAAAAATTATAACTGTCTAAACGAGGGTTGAGGGTTGGTTTCGTTCACCATCCAGTCTAGACAACAGAAGAAAAAAAAAATAATAAAAAAAATAAAAAAAAAAAATAAAAAAAAATAAAAATAAAAAATAGCAGAAGGCAAAATGAATCTGGCATAAAAATGTTAATTCACTTACTCTCATACCTAGCTCAAAATTTATTATCAGTCATTTGCCGAGATCAATAGCAAGATCATGGAAGTCACAAAATGAAAACATTTCCACAGAAGAATTTGGAGAATTATCAGAAAGAATGATGCTTTATCAATTTAATTTACCTGTAGATGGCTCATCAAGTATGACTATGGAAGGATCTCCAATCATTGCAATTGCCACAGATAACTTGCGCTTGTTACCCCCACTAAGGGAAAAAGAGGGTTTATTGGCGTGCTTCAACAAGTCAAATTCAACTATTTTCTCCATAACTACCTATAAAATATTTGATTAGCTTAAAGAATCAATTAATAATTAAACAGATCTATAGTGATACAGCCTAAAAATAAGACATATAAAACAACAGAAAATAACAATGTAAGCTGGTCATGAATGATGATCAAAAGGACACTTTTTCAGAGCCAAGACAAGAAACACCTAGAGTCAACTTATACTGAACTGTACTTAATTATCCAAGATACTAAGCTGTTGAGCCATTCCAAAATGATAAAATTGTGGATCTGAAAATAAAGTAATGTTAAGCATTCTGTACACATAATGGAACAATTGAGTTGCTTAGTAAGGAAACAATAGGAAGCAAGAATGAGAATCTTAATGCGTGCAGATAGAATATTTAACATATATACCATAAACAACGGATAGAATTTGCTCCACAGCATTTCATAGTTTCATACCTCTTCAATCCGATCGTCTGATACTCTTTTAATCCTTGCATACAGTTCAAGATGTTCCCAAACGGTCAAATGTTCTAACAAAGCATCAAACTGGGGGCAGTAACCTATCTGTAAAACAACAAATTACTATTCAGTATGTAAACATGTGAGTAGGTGATTAATTGCGAGAAAGAAAGAAAGACACACATGCTGACGAGCAGCCTTGGGATCCGAGCGTATATCTTTTCCAAATATAAAAGCAGTTCCCTCTGAAGGGAATTCTTCGCCTGCATATGAAGGTTAGAATAGATTATCAATCAATCAAGTATGCTCAAAAATCATAATCTGTTGAAATGACCTTACTTCAAAATGCTCCAAGTATAATTTTAAGTTAAGTACTCAGATAATATCAACTTCCACGTAAGGTAATCTGGTCTTATACAGAAGGGAAAAAAAAAAAAAAAAAAAAAAAACACCTTTGTAAAAGTAACGTAGGAAGCCAGAGAAAATTTCATAAATGTTAACTATATGGCAAATTTTAACATACACAGTAATCTGTAGCATCTACTGTACTCACAAATATAGAAGAACAATTAGGTACCAATAGAAAACTAAGAAAATATCAGTAATAACAAATAAAGAGAAGAACAATTAGGAACCAAACAATAGAAAACTAAGTGAATATACGTAACACTTTCCAATATTATTTCACAACTTTAATTTTCCATGGTTATTCACATTACTAAGGTTCCCAAACAAACTATCCCCATGATTTCCCTTAAGAAATTCATCCTCTTACTCCTTAATTTCAATGATTTCAATGTCCCACTTGGATAAGGAAATTCCATTCTCTCCCACACAAACAAAAACGAAATGTTTTTGCTCGCATAACTGACAAGAAGTCATCAATTTGGAACATAAAATTGAAACTGAATACTTCACATGATTTTCCTAGTAGTGTTTTACTAATACATCAATCAATACATTACCCATTGCTACCCAGAGTTAGTTTTGTGGGCTTAAAGGGCCAGGAAAGAAATATTGTTGTGACGTAAAGCATAATGCAGCCTAACACTTTTATGACAATCCCTGTTGCACTTGAGGTTAAAAAAGAATGCAAATGTTTTCTCAGGAACCACACAACTAGTGATTTACAATGAATTAAAAAAAATATCTAAAATCTTTATGAATAAAGGTAGTGGGGGCATTGCCAATATATCTACTTCAAATTTTTGATACTATACCAGATAACATTGACAATGTGGTCGTCTTTCCCGCTCCATTTGTCCCCAGAAAGCCAAAACATTCTCCTTCATGGACAGCAAAAGTTAATGAATGAACTGCGACTTTTGGGCTTTGAACTTTTCCACCTGGGTAAACCTAAAAATTTCACTGATTCATGTCAATACTATCACAGCAAGATAAAACAACAAAACTGAAACAGCAAAAGGCATACCTTGCACAGGTTACGCAAGTATATAATAGCTCTATCAGCAGCACCAGAAACCACCCTATTTCTTTCTGCTTTTACATCAATATCCTCATCAAGGTCAAGAGTCACAGCATCAGAAGATGAACCCAATAGAGGTTCTAATATATTGTTGGTGCTCGGACTGTTCACACAGCACAAACTCTTAATTCTACTCCAGCACAAATTAATTGTAATGGGTGTTATTTTGCGAAGAGGTAGAGCTTCAAGTCCAAGCGTTAATAGAAAAAAGAAGATGCTCTGCAAATACAAAAAAAAAAAAAAAAAAAAAATAATAAAAAATAAATAAATAAATAAACAAATAAAATAAAAAAGCCATTTTAGAGACCTTTGTGATCCTCCTAATAGTACAAGTAAAAGTGTTCAATCTATCAAGTATGCCCAATTGCTTTTAATAATTTTAGAGCAATTACAATGAAAAATGTACATACAATGTTCTAATATCAAAAGATGAAACACGTACATACAATTTGAGTACTATTCTGCTATTATTTTCTTTCAAAAGCAAAAGATTAAAATAATACATAAAATTAATAAGATATTTGACAAAGAAACAACATAACTTGCAAATAGATTGAATACCATGGGGGTGACAGTGTGACACACCGACACCCAATTAGAAAGGAAAATCAGAGCAATTATTGCTCATGCAAGATATCATGTAAAGTTTCACATAAGAGTACAGAGAATAAATGTACTGCTACAGTACATCATTTGGCAAAAAAAAAAAAAAAAAAAAAAAACCTTCACAATAAGAAATCTGCTATTTTTTTTCCCCATGTGGGCATTCATCGCCCAAAAAACAAAGTTGGTGATAAACCAAAAGACCATTCTACTCCCAATTCGGGTTCCATTCATAACAACACACTTGAGCTCACTTTGATAGAGACCAAGTTACACTAGGCCATGAGGGTGTGATTGGCTACTGATAAGTCAAGCGGATGTAGGAGACATACAATCCCAATTTATCCACAAACACTCAGCATCAAAGAAAGAATAATTCAGAAGCACTATGAAAATGAAATACACAATAGGTAATCCCCGGAAAATTGTACATATAATACATGTGATGGTGATTTGAAGTTTAGAAGAAAAAAAGGCAGAAGTTGGCAATCACAATATTTATGAGCATTACAACAAAAATAAGTGTGATTGTTATTCTTGAATGAAAACATTTCTAAAGAATAATTTGGATGAGTAAAGAACCTCAAAACCTAAATAGCAAATAGAGGCACCAGTAACATTCCAGTCAAGAACCCCATGACTGGATTTATCTTTCATCCCTTGGCGTAGAAGGGCTAATGATGCAAGTCCATCTGCAAAGCAGAATCCAGGTGCTAGTCTAAATATGTTCTGCAAAATTATAACATATGTCAGGACTATTATCAGCATTGTCAGCAAGAAGGTAAAAAAAAGAACATAGAAAGAAGATTATTAGTCAAATCATCCAGATAATTGATAAACAAATCAATTCTCCCAAAAAGCAAATGTCATATAATAAGCATTACCAACAATATAACATGTCAATTAAAAATCTCAAAACCCTGCACCAGTAAAACTGTTGCAATTAATCTGAAATGAATGAAGCAAGAAGAAAAGCACCTGACATGGTAAGATAGAGCATCTACAATGGCAGCTAACTTGCCATGCCATGTTACCTCAACGATTAGCTACTAGCTTGCTAATTATATAATGCTCACTTGTCAATCAACTTTTAGTAAGGAATTTGCTTGCCCAAGCAAAAGCTAATTTCCCATTTCAATTCTAATGGACAAGCTAGTAGCTTAGAACTAGGGGTGGCAATTCAAGTCAACAGGTTGGGTTGGGTCAGATTTCAGGTCACTTTCGAGTTGGGCTAAAAAATCTACATCACAGTGATATTTTCAAATCGGGAAAAAAAAATACACATTACAGAATTAATCATTTATAATGAAAAAAATCCTGCTACACAATGCAATTGCCACCTCACATAACAGAAGAGATGAGGAGACTGAAGACTAGTTTATGCATCTCTACACCTTGTAATAGTTGTAACACAGATATACAACAGTTAGATTCATGTCTTCTGTAACAGACTTAATAGGATTTACAAAAGTGGCAAAAGAATTGGCAAGAAAAACATAAGAATAAGGTGAATCACCGAGAGACCAGTCCTGATATTATGAATTTCTTATTTCTTTTAATAAGGTTCCAAAACAAGTTGTGTACTTCCAAATCAGAGCATGAACAAGACTGTAAGTGATAAAGCCAGGAGAGGTATATCAGAATGAATTACTAAATTTCTGGTGAATAATATTAATTTTTTTGTGCCACGGCCATATAACTGCGTTCCCATAGAACTAAGGAAAAAACAAAAGCATACAATAGTTATCAAAGTATAAAAGCTGAAACAGAAAAAAGCAACAATAGAGCCCAAACCTTAAGATGAGAATTTACTGTAGCAGTTGTTTCCATGACCCCCATTACAAAGGAGATGACCATAAGAATAAGTCCGGTAAAAAAGTGGACCAGTAGAACAACATTCTGTGAGAAAAAAAAAAACATTATGCTAAGCAGGGAACTAACTCTGTTTAGTATAAAGCTATACAGATCATGCTAAACAACTCAGAAGAGAACAAACCTGTGCCACACTATGGTCAGAGAAAAAAAAAGTCAAGCAATATGTTGAAGATGCAACTGCTAGACCGTACTCCAGAAAGATAACAACTGTTGGGAAAAAACCGCCTGTTCCCACAAACTGATCCAATCCTGTAGATCAATATGACAAACGAAATTTTTAGGCACAACACTGAAATTGGAGAGTTAAACAAGTACCAATATGAAAGAAAAGAGAAAGTTCGTCAAAAGAGCACATTTTCCCGTCAAGATTCTCAGGTCAGAAATATCAGTTTCCACTTATTTGCACTTCCAAGACAAGGACCAATATGTATGCTGCCATAGGCAGAGACCACGAAGAGGAGAATAACAGCATAAAAGATTAAATTTTGGTAGATTTGAAGACAAAGCCTCACTTTGTATAGCCTATAATAACAAATTCTACACTTTAGTTGACATGTAAAAATGAAGAATAAAAATCGGATATGCTATAGCACCAGCAGGTGACTCAAAGTTCCATAGAAGACATGAACCCAAATTTGGGAAACTAAAGGAATAATGCATACCAAAGATGTAGAAAAGAACAACTGCAAAAGACGTCGGTAAAAGGAAGCTGACAAAGTCCCATAAATAGGTGGAAGCCCAATACGACAGTACAGATACCTGAGGCAAAATGAATAGCTACATGACTTTAACCAAAAGAAAAGTAATAATCACCCATTACAATAGCATAATATCTAAATTCCAAGAGGAATATAAAGGGCCAAATGAATCATACCCCACTCAGTAACTGCTGATGCTTAGCTTTTACTTCACGTTCCTGCAATCACACATTTCGACTTCTTTAGACCATTGTTAACCATCCTCAAACAATACCAACATGTAAAATAAAAACCTTTACCATAGAAACAAAAGAAAGTAAAGGCAACAAATCAAGCAAGTCACAGCATAATATAGTTAATTTTACTCTTTCTAAAAGGAGCTACATTCTGTATATTTAAGCTTAATGATTTTTCTATGCACACGTTTTTTACAGATATGGACAAAATAATGATAAAAAACATTTACTACACTACTCTTAACATAGAAGCTTAGTGAGCGAGTGGGTGGGTGTAAGAAAATGATGGTTAACGAGAGAAAATGCACAAGAGTGGGTGGGTGTAAGAAAAAGGTGAATTAAGTAAGAGAGTGAGTATAAATGTGAATATTCTGGGGTAAGAGGGGTAATGTAGTAAAAGGAGTTTGCCATAGTGAAAGTTTTGAGTGTTGACATATTTTAGAAATGAACCAAAATGGAAAATGTTAAGCTCATTCAGAAACAGATTTAGCAGTAGGAGAGTAGATAATGATGCTTAGGAAAAAAATTCTTTGGTATATGGAGAAAAATTCCCATGCACTTGACGAAGAGTTTGGCAAAACTAATTATAAAATATGCATAGGAACTAAGTGACTTGGTCAGCTGGTCCACCAACTTCACCATATTACTCATTAAGAGAGTAAATTTCATACATGCCTTCTCTATAACAATGCTTGTAGGGTTGTAGAGGAAAAAGGATGAAGGGACTTGGTCAAAGTGCCAAGTTACAATTGCAACAACTCAAAAGCTCCCTTGGCAAATATATCATGACAACAGACATTTAAATGGTCCTTCAATGTACCACTTTGTCTGAAGAGGAGCTCCATATCACTCGATTAAAAAACCAAATATGTAAACGTTGATTTCAAACTTCTCCTAGACTATCATCTATAATGGCATCAGTTTGACAAATGCATCCAACTGACGTCTAATTTTGGTTACTTTAAACATGAAACAGGCTATCACAGAAGTATTTCAGTGGCAGATTTAATAGAAACTTACATAACACAACATTAGAGCCATATAACTGCAGATATGGTACTCTTATGCCTTTCCAGAAAAAGATAATAAATCTCTAACAGATACTAGAAATCTGCCACATCTAATGCAAGGAGCCAAGGAATAATTACACGGCAGCAATAAGGATTTGCTGCACACTAATTTAAATGTCCATAGCACCATCAAGTACAGTAACGAACAAACAGCTCTATTGCCTCTATAAGCTGTTTTCATTATTATCAATACAGTAAACCAAAATATAAGCATTTTCTATACAAAAATAAAAGCCTGTAATATAACCATTATCTATATAAAAATAAAAGCCTGTGATACACAGCTAATACACGTACCTTTACTATAGGAACAGCAAATGAAGCAGGAATAAAAGAGAAAGCTATGGTGACAATAATTGCAGCTGAGAATGCATCCAAGTCCTGCAAATCAAGAATGTAACATGAGCTGCATGCCATGTAATCACAGTTGCATCTAAGGACACTTAGAGAATGTAACATGAGTTGCATGATATATGTCACACAACAGTTAATAAATAGAGTCATAACAAAAATAATTTGTTTGAAACTCGATCATCGAGTTTTGGTAAATCATTTGCAAAAATTATTGTTAGTTGCAAAAGCAACTTTAAATTAAAAAAAAGCTAGCTAGTTCATTAATTTAGTGACAAAGAGTCACATACGGGGAAATCTCACCGAAACAATGATTTTCCCACACTTGTTCAATACCAAACTGAACTAACTTAGCGAGATGATATTTCCACACTTGTTTAATAACAAAGAGTCCATAACTCCATAAGTACATATGAGGAAGTATATTTGTTAATTGCAAAGCACCTTTGTCTCATACAAAAAATTTAATATGTCAATCATTCAGATAGGCTGGTGGTGGCTAGCTCGAGATTTCTGATAAGAACCTCTGTAGCCAGCTCCTCAAACTAGTCAGGCAAGCAAAGGATGGCTAAACATGTTCATACTTTGAAGACACATAACAACCCCTAAGCTACCTCTTGAAAACAATTATCATAGACGAAGTCATGCATATGAAAACTTGGAACATTTGTGGTTATTGAGCCAATCAAACTTGTCACTAATCACTGGTAAATAAGTGAGCACAAAATATCATTGCATTAGGATATAGGGTCATACATGGTGCTGCAGGTGTTGGCTTTTTGTCATTGGTAGAGGATGATTACGTGTTTGGATTGTCATGTTTCTATCAGAAACAGCAAACCTGAGGATTGCTGAATTCATCAAATTAATATAAGTTGGAGCAGCATGCTGGCAAGTACTGTTGTGTAGCACTGTATAACTTAGACTTCCATCATCATTTGGCTTATCCATTACAACAGCTCCATATCTGCATGGTGTAATACAGCCAATAATAAATCCAAACAAATCATTAAGCAAATCATTATACACAAATTAAAGAAATATATGAACCCATTTAGAATGTCTCGTTAAAGAACAGAACTTTGACCATGAATATTAACTAAAATGCAAGAAAATAAAACAAACTCATGTGGGGTCTTGTTAGAATTGTTCGATATGTAGTTTCGAAATATCAACTTTTTAAAATATTAACAATACATAATTAAAGATATTGATGACAAAAAAAATGTGCATTGAAGGTGGAAAAGCAAATGGATTACACTATTTACATAATGCCATCAATAGGACAAGAATTCAGCAATCAACATTAGTGCTAGGAGTATGTTTTAAATTAATGCTTTTTAAAAGTAACAATGGAACATAAAGGACACAAAGGTGGCAGGGTCACCCATATAGAAAAGTGAATGTACAAGGGACAGGAGTGTTAACGCCTCACATTCATCAACAGAGGTGGAACTAAGCAGTGCAGTGGTATTCCTAAGTTGTCTTCTATTAATAGTGATAATAGGTAAGATAACCTAAATTAACGGAAATGCATACATGTAAACCATAAAGGAAATTGACTGCAAGTGTAGAACCGCCAATCTGCTAAAGCAAGAACAGAATTATAGAAACAAAAAGTATGATGTCATAGAAGTGGAGCTCATACCTTGACTGATAGGATTCATTTAAGCTAGACATCAAAAATTCACTCATAGAAAGTAAGCGTGGTCCCAAACTTGGCCCAGCAGCCTCGATGGCATCTGATAGTGCCTTTTCTGGATCAGGAAATCTGTATGTACTTGGTTTAAACTCCTGAATCCAGCCACCATCTATCCATGATGCAATCTGAAATAGAATTCTTTTTCTGATTATGTTGTTTGATGCATTCTATTACTAATAATTTCACTTATTAACTTTGATTTGCTTTTATGCATCATATTTTTCTTCACAAAATAAACAAAAGAAATTGTAAAAATCAAAAAGAGAATCCTAATCAACAAACCTCTTCTGAGATAGGATAGGCTAGATCAAATGGAATTGGAGCACCACCACCACCACTCAACAGAGGATTAAAGTTAGAAGTTGTAAAAGTTACAGAATTTTGGTCAGGATGAGGCTTCAGTTTAAGAAAAAGAAGTCCAAAAAATAGGAAGACAGCTGGAATTAGAAGCTGAAACACAATTGTTTTCTGATCTCTCCTAGCAGATACTGCTCTCTTTTTAATTAATGCCTTTGAGTGTTGCCAAAAGTCTGACCTCGAAATTACAGAAGTACAACAAAATTGCATTAATAGAAAATTAATGAAACACCAGATTGCAGCAAAGAACACTCTCACGGTCCTCCCTACGATAAGACACATGACCATCATAAAGTCCATGTAACTTCCACAAATCTTAGCAAAGAAGCATTTTTTAGGCGTTTGATATTCTGAGGCTGAAGTAACCAGAGAATCATGGGGAGTTGATTTCTGCTCTACAGACTCTAATTCTTCAAGGTCAGACCCAGCCACTCTCAGAAATACCTCTTCCAATGTTGTCACAGATATGCCATAACTTTCAATACCAACACATTCATCCTCAGATGCACCAGCTTCATAGTTTGATGTTGACCTTTTCATACAACTTTCAAGCTCCTTGAACATTTCTTCAAAACAAGATGATGATGTCAAAGGGAGCTTAAATGAAATCTCTGTACCCACCTAAGACACCAAATAAATACCAATATCAGCATGCAATGAAGTACTTAAACCTTAAAAACTAAGTCATGTAATCCAAAATTTCACTTAGTATGGACAGCCTATCAACAAATATGAATATTACATCCGTGGTTCAGGATGGCATGAAAAATAACAAAATAGAAACATCATTATGTCCAAGATCTTCACAAATTTCAAGAACAAGGATTCAACTATTAAAGTCTGTTTTCCCTTATGTGGTGTTCAGGTGCAAAGCAACAAAAGGCTATTCTCCCACATTTTTACGAAAAAAATCACATACCTCACTCACTACAGTGGCTGCAGGTATATGACGATGAACAATATCTGCAGCAAAAGTGGCGCCGGGCGCAGTCTGTAAAAAACAAGAAGCAATTAGACTAGTGATGTCATGTAATATTTTGTAAACCTAAGCAATAAAGTTATCCATATGTGCAAAAAGCTAGTAACAGAAGATGCAATGAGACTAGTGAAATCATGTAATTTTTTGTTAAAATAAGCAACACGATTATCCATATATGCACAAAGCTGAGACTAACCTTCACTAAAGTAAGGGTATAACCAACTCCATATTGATGCTTCAAGAAAAGGGAACTGCAACAATAATGAATTCAATTTCAGAATAAATAGGGAGCTGGGATTCACTATCTATACACACACACACACATAGCAACACACTATGTGAATGTAAATAAATCCGTAATTTAGGTGAAAAAATTTCAGCCCTCTCCCTCTTCACATGAGAAGAACATCACTATTAAGTAATAACCCACACCATCAACCCTATAGAACAAGGAAAATAAAAATATAATGCAAATTACTCATTTTTTATAGTTCTACTTTTTATTCACGGTGATGACTCGAGATAAGAAGGAACCTTCCACAACATTTCAAAGAGCCATTTGCCATGATAGCTATACGATCTCCTAATGCTTCAGCCTCATCCATTGAATGTGTCGTCAATAATACTATTCTTCCTTTCTTAATCTTCTTTATTAGCTGCCATGTCAAGCGCATTGAATAAGGATCCATCCCACTAGTGGGTTCATCCAGAATAATAACCTGCAAAACACATGAGCAAGCTTGTAGAGAGATTCGCAAAGAAAAAAAAAATGATAAATATAAAAAGGAAATCACCCTAACAAAGGGATACCCAACCTTACTGTCTCCTATAAGAGCAATTCCCAGAGAAAGTTTCCGTTTCATACCACCAGATAAACATCTTACGAGGGTGTTAGCTTTGTCAGAGAGACCAACCTGTCAAAAAAAGATAAACAAGGCAAAAAGCTAACGACCAAAGCAGAAAGGAAAAGAATCAAGATAATTTTTTTTTTTTCCAAAAGGATATTACATCTTCAAGAAAAACCACCCTGATATTGTGCAAATTTCATGGAAAAGCTTCAGTCTAAGTTTTCTAGTAGACAGTACCATCAAAGTCTAAGGAAGGGTTATTTTGCACAGAGAAAAAAAAAAAAAAAAAAAAAAAAAAAAAACTATCTTTAACTAAGGATTGTAATGTGATGGGAGAAGGCTGAAAGGCAAATATCAACATATTTTAATATTTTAACTCATGGAATGACCGCACAAACAAGGAGGGCCATAAAGAAAGAAAAGGCATGATCCAAGAGAAATAATTACAAGAGAACCTCTCTAGATAGAGAGGACAAATAGTACTCAAAAATTCAAAATGAAGTGCATGGAGCCAACTATAAAGAAACTCTAAAAAGGGTCTAAAACACATGAAAAAAATTTCAATTCTAAATCGATAATTATATAACTTCCAGCCCCCTAATTGCCACTAAGTATAAGAAACACGATAGATTATTCTATCCATAAAAATGTAACAGACGCAAAAATATACTAACATGTGAAAGAATCAGTGCACAGCTCTGACATTAGCTCAGACAAATTCCTTCAATTTCAAAGTTCAATAATTAAATCACTACATGAAGTGTCTTCATGACATCAAGTTATAGCCTATTGAAACCACTATACCAATATATGATAAATCATCCTGCTAGCCAGCTCTATTGGCTCTTTTGTATAGACTATAAGAGTTATTTCAGATAACTGAAACAACAAAAGATACTGCAGAAACGGGGACAGTGAGTCCTCATCAATGAGATAGAAATCATGAACAGATGGAACCAAATAAATAAATAAAGAAGAAATTAGCAGCAAGCATAATTCAGGAGCCCAGCACACCATCAGTACATAATACCTCATCAATCATATCTGTCACAACCCTTTCTAGAACATCTTCCTTCACACCTTTCAGCACGCCAAACAATTCCAAATGCTCTTTCACCTACAAAGATTTGAGTCATGTCAAAGCATACCAGCAGAAGTGTTCAAGCCAAAATCACAGAGCAAACTAATAGAGACATTGACATCAGAAAATCAGCCCTACAACTCCTTAGCAATGACTCAATACAGAACCATTCACCACCAGCACAAATGCCACTTAGCATAGGTGTGAGTGTTCCCTCTTCAAAAGGTCAAAAATAGTTCTCAATAGCCTACAAACATTTTGAAGCTATCAATAGATTTGAGATGAATCATTTCAAATCTCCAAATAACCAGAACAATGACAGTCTAATCGCCTCTGAAAGGCAGAATAAACCTCCAATGTGCAGTTGTCGGATCTGAGGAGGTCTAGCTATACACCATATTTTATCATACTAGACTATCACAGTTTTCAAGGATTATACTATCCAAATTGCTTGAAATGCTTACACTGAGTTCAGGAAAAAGAATATCACTTTGAGGGCATACTCCCAAGTCCTTGTGTATGTCATTCTGCATCAGACAAGAAAGTATTACATATTAGACTGGATTCAACACTTATAAAGTTAGAAACAACCACGTAGGAAAGTAAGACAACCAGTAAAAGAAACACTACAAGTAGAATGGATAAGCTCATTCACTCTCTCTGTATCCACGGCCCACGGGTAGGTCGCAGCGGCACACTGTGAGATTTCCAAATCTCACATAGTACAATTTTGGTACCAATATCACATATTTTGGTACCCAAAAAAATTGGTACAAAACCCGCATGATATGGTACAAAATTTTGAATTTGGTACAAAAATGTGATTGCTTGGTATTTTGGTACCAAAATATGCAATTTTCGTACCAAAATTATATGGAAATCTCACACAATGTGCAGCTAGGAGTTCCCTCTATATACACTAATATGAGGACGATAAAATAAACCATACAGAGCAAATCTGAATCTCTTTCATCAAAACATAAACATTTTACAAACACAATGTCTTTACTAGGGACATTGGTAATTTTATTAGGTACACTATTATTAATTGACCCAATAGTGAGGCCTTAAACCAAATCACTTGGCGTTAAAAATATGACATCTAATCATGAAACAACTTTTACTATCCTCTAGTAACAAAAGGTGGAAAGTCTTTACAAGAATAGCCAAATCTATGAATCCACAAGTATATTGCTCATATTTTCAGAAAATTTCAAAATGTGATCTCGTCGCTACAGTATAAAGACAGAAAATAGTACAGATAAATTAAAATCACCCAATCTGGAAAGCGAACTATTATATGAAACATAGATGATAGCAGTACATACACATACGTAAAGCACAAAATCAACAGACATCATCGTCCACATCAAATCCTAATTGAAGATATATAACAAAATAAATGTGGAAAGCACATATAATTAAATTATACAAAATCTTCTGAGGAAACACATACCATATCTGTCAAAATATTTTTTCCAAAAACCAAAGCATCCCCGGAAGTTGGAGGAATAAGTCCAACAAGCATAGATATGGTTGTGCTCTTACCAGCCCCATTGTGTCCTACATAAAATAAAGCAGAAATTTAGCAACAAACAAACATATTATACAGAGAGAAATCATGCATAGTCTTCCTAGATGACATAAAATAAAGTGGTCTACTTCATATTCGTATTAAACATTGCTTTGAATATTAACAAAGCAATGTGTTTTCAGAGTACTCAATTTGGGATAAGAGAACTAGGAAGCCATTAATTTTCTTAAATTATTTTTTGAAAATATTTGTTAGCTTCGTACATCGCTAAAGTTAGCAATAATACACAGATGACACATCTCTTAGTAGTTCGGCAGTTTAAAACCCTCCCATCCATCCTACAAGAATGCTGACCTCTTCAATTCTAAAGCTGGCTGTAATGAATAATTTGATAAATAAATTGCAATGTATCTGGAAACTTAAGCTTTTAATCACAAATCTCCCAGTAACATATATTCAATAAACATTTTCAAATATTGGATTGTTAAAAAAAATAGAGTTAAGGGCTGCCTGCATGCATACCTAGAAGAGCAAGAATCTGATTTTCATACAAAGTCAGCTGCAATGAGTTCACAGCACAGCAATTCCCTTTTTTGGAAGCATATACTTTATTAAGATTCCTTATTTGGAGGCACCTGCACATCAACATGCTAAATTTAAAAAAGTAAAGGGGAAGGATAAAAATTTAGTCACATAGATTTGTGGATGACCCAACCTACCGGCCTTCAACTTCTTGCTGTTTCATTTCCAAGCTAGTACCCTCGACTTTCAATCCAGATTCAAAAAAATAAGGCTTAATTTTATCTTTATTTCTCCTGAGGCATTTAGGCAAAATAAGCTTCCATGAAAATTTGGCATGATCCTCTTTTGGTAATACCTGAATACACAATAAAAACTCTGCAAATTATTAGCCATACATAAACCATTTAGTCCAAAAGAATTACTAGATACTTCAACAAATACTTTTGATCAACACCTTTAGAAAAAGATTTACTAATACCTAAATGATAGTTTTTCTTTTCTTAACAAAGGTTAAAGTGAGAAAAAGGGAGGAGAGAAACTAGGAAAAAAACAAAACATTTTCTTGCATCAAGCTTGCATGTCTGTTCCAATGAAATTTCTACTTAAACTGGAGGAGAAAGACTCGTGACAATATCGGCAAACATGATAACACATTAAGTGCAATAGTTATCAAGTGGTTTAGATCTGCAAATAATCATCACTTCATCAGAACTCCCTTCTCTTAAAAAAAAAAAAACACTTCATTTTTTTAATGCACCATTTTCCTTTTTTGAAAAGTTGCATATTAATTGCACCATTTCCTTATGTGGTATTTTTTTTCACTTTTTCGTTGTGTTCACACACGAAATTCCCTACCTACCCTTGTTCACATGTTATAACAACTTTTAATACCCTACCTTTTCTATCTCTCATTTGATTTTTTTCTCATGGGCACTTTTGACATACTCCATATTTTACACCTTTTCTTATATCTTGTGCCCAACCCAAATAGTGCAATTATAAAAAACGGAGGAAGTATTTCATATTTCACACCGTACTTTTGTGATCTAAGTGTCAAACCATGTAAGCTTTTGACCATAATTTAGTTCCCTCATGCCACTCAGTTGTGAAATGATATCAAATGCAAGAAACATTATTACATTAAAACGAGCTTAACATTTCACCAAAAAAAAAATAAAATTAATACAAGTTTTTACATGATATCTTTACATTATAACACAATTTATTTGACCACCAAAGTGGCATAATATCTTGAAATGAAGGCAGATTAATATTATCCATTTAAGATGCACAAAACTGAAAAGTCTCGTTGTGCAAGCAACATTTTTGTATTTTCAAGAAAACGAATCAAAAATTTGTAAGGCTGGTATTTCAAATAAGTACTTCCGAGTTAAGAAGCATTTAGCAATACAAAGTTAGCAAAGGAACAAGAAGCACAAATTGTCAACCACATTTATTCCTTCATCCTTGTTACCAAAGAGGTTTTGATGATCATACCTTATCCAAGTAAATACCAATCACACCATATAGCAGTGCATCAAACAACATCATGCTCAGACAGACCAGAAAATTAACCCCAGATGATTCCTACATGAACCATTAACATAGACACTTTAATACTTGTAGGAAGCCATACTGAGAAATGTATCTTAAATAATGTAAGCATACACGCCATATATTGCTCCAACGCAATCCAACATGTGCTCTCTCATAATCTGCAAAGTTTATGGATCCCAACGCAAAGGCTGTAGGAGACAGCAACGATGCAGCAGCCTTCAATACCCTGGAATAAAGAAAATTAGAGAAACGATACAGGCACACAAATCTAACAAACTATCACCATCATGAAAGACTCAAATACTGACATTGGTACACCTGGATCATTGACAGTATAATAAGGAAAGAAGGCTCCTAAAAATGCAAGTGTCCCAACTGCCACAGCTGTTTTAGCTCTTGTGAAAAATGTAGAAATTAAGAAAGAAAGTGTTATAGCGCTAAGGCCGAAGAAAAAGAAGTATACAAACACCAACGACTTATCACTGTACTCAAACAGGGAGCACATAGTGAAAGTGGTAATGATCCCGGAAGATACTGCAAACTGCATATTGGGAGAGAAGCCAAATTAAAATTTCATCAAAATCCAAAAATGGATAAGCAAAATAAGCAACCTTTACAGGCTACATAATCCATGAATCAATTACAGCCAGAGGAGGACCAAAGCCCACCAAAAAAAAAGTATTTTGGAAAAACAATTCGAGTTACAAGTTATATACTTCCATTGTTCTTTCATAATTGCAAAATTTGGTGACTATGTTTTTTCTTTAAGTATCACAAAAATGGTCGAAGGAGAGTGCATGAATGGTGTAAAAGTCTGGAGTTTGTATTTAAAAATAAATAAATAAAAAATAAACAGGATGAAGTATGAAATAGACATGCCAAAAAAACACCCATGTGAATGTGCCCAAAAAAAAACGCTAAGCACAATTTGCCCCAGATATACACTTGATCCCCCAAGATACCATCAATTCTGTACAACCTCATTAGACAAGTGATCCCCAAAATCCCATTTTCTCAAACCAAATCACTCAGAAAATTGTAAGCTGAATAGAGGGCATTAGGCCCTAAGCTTGCTCAGCTCCAAGCTAAATCTGTCAAATTTGTCAATTGGTAGGTTTCAAGTTTGGATTATTTAAAATTGGGTCTTTTCAAATACAAGTTGTGAATAGCGAATGCTAGCAATGGCCAAAAAAAATAAAAAATAAAATAAAAAGTTTTAGGGCACTTTAACAATTTCAAATTTTGGCAAATGTTTGGGTATATTTCAATGTGAATTTATTTTAAAATTTCATAACCTAATTTAAATGTATTATCAATATTATACTACCTCCATTAACTTTTAGTTGCAACTTTGGGGTATTATTTGTGAGATATAAAATATTCCAAAGTTGCAACTAAAAGTTAACGGAGGTAGTACATCTTTTTTTAAATGATTTTGTAATTACCAACCATTAAAATTGTCTAAATACAAAAAAAAAAAACCATAATGACGTCAATTCAAAAACTAAGCTAATTATTCACCATAACTGAAAATTTCAAAATTAAGGCTCAAAATAACAAATTTTTTTTTTTTTTTTTTTGCCTCAATTGAATGTTGAATAAAGGTAATTTGAATAAATTAGGTCATTTAAACAATCAGGTCGATTTTTCTTAAACTTATTACACAGGTCTCAAGTCATATGGAACTGCTTTGAAAAGACAACCCCCAATGTTGAGATTATCCCAAAATTAATCAATAGCTGGGATTGTTTAAAGAAGATAGGGTATAGTTGGACTACATTATTATATAACCCAATAGCATATAATGTTAAGATTCTATTATATGAAATTAACAACTCTATGAGACGTCCATAAAGGATGTTTTGACAAGATGTATAAACTATAAAGGATGAAAAAATATTCAGAAGCAAGCAAAGAACAAGCAGGACACATCCGACAAAATAAAACTTATTGTGGTTGAACTTCAGAAGGTGTAGTGCATTAAATACCTGTAGAGCGTAAGTTATAAACCATGAGATTTGAAAAATGTCACTTTTAAGACCCATCATGTATAGCCCATCCTTGATTTTTTGCTCCTAGAATAACAAAAATGAAATAAGCTCAGGCCAGAACTAAGAAATATAAGATATACATAATAGCTATTTGCTTGTTTCAAGTATCACCCATTCATTATCCAACCTTTTCAAAAACAGAATAACTTATCAGGCGAGATATGGGGTAAAGAAAACCCAGCAGGTACCTGTGCATCACAATACAAAGACGTGAACAACTAAAGGCTTATATTCTGCAAATGTAAGCTTATAATGAGAAAACAAATGTTACATACAATACTCCCATAACTTTCTTAATAATAAATTGGAACTCATCATCAGTGTAATCACGAGTTGGAAAAGGAACCAGCCGTATGTTTGAAGGAATGAACTGCATTGAAGGAAACTTCAGCGAGGATTGTATGTCAAAGGAATTGAACACAGGGGCTTCAGAGCCATCAGAAATGTTGCTAATATCAGATTCCTGAGCAGCAAATATTATGAAGGAATCGAGAACTTGTTGAAGCTGCACCAAGAATTAAATTAAAATGAATAAAAATCAAACCCTGCAGTGATAATAGTTAACATACGATTACAGCACACAGTGGCAACGATGAAGAGTCCAAGAAGGCAACTTATAGTAAATGCTAGATAGCAACATAACACGGCTGGAGGCCTAACTTACACCATTGGCAATCACTTAGTTATTTGGCTATTTGAATTGTAATAAACTTCAATATTAAATAGAAGCTTGGTCCTACGTTTATACATAAAAGTAACTTGGGGCGATTGAGTTTACAGGTATAGATGATAGTAATATGCAAGATTTAATCAAAACAGTTATAAAATAGTACAGTAATCAAGAGTCAAATAACCTACTAACCAGGCCAAGAAATGCAAAAAGTTTCATAACTTTCAACATAGTTGTTTATGTAAAGCACAATCTGACATACGAACATGCTAATCGCCATTTCTGTTGTTATAGATCAACAATTACTCTTCATTTAATAGGAAAAGTTTCAGAATATAGGGTATGAGCTGCAAACATGAAATCTCTACAATCACACATATTTCAGAAATTTCATACAAATCAACAAAAGAATTTTAAAGTCATATATTCTAGATCTACAAAGTAAGTCACATTTTGTTGATGACTATAAAATTACAGGTATTTGGTTTGTTATAGAATGTAGAAAAGCCATTTAGTTTGTCATTGAAACTAACATAAGAAATTTCTTGATTTCACATAAATAAAGCCAAACTTCAATGTTGACCTAAGATAAAGCACTCCTCTACCATGCTGCAGAAACAATACAAGACTCAGGCTCCAAAAACTCATCCAAGATGGTTATTAGTACGTGTGGTTGTATAATGATGTCTTTGATTGAGGGAGATGGGATAGCTATCTTCCCTTTATTTAATATGATTGTATTGCTAACGGGATGTGGTGTGCTCTGCGTTCATTTTGCCCACCACATAATAAATTAAAATTATATAGTTTGTCACAGAATTGTCAAAGCTCGTGTGGCTTAGTATATTTAGAGCATAGACTTGGGAATAGTGGCGGAACTTTGTTTAGGCTGGCAAGGGCCTGACCCCCCTAAGAATTTTGGAGTTGTTCCTTATAAGCAATTTGATGTCTATTTATTGCATATAAAATGTTGTGGTTGGGGGGTCAAACCTTAGCCCCCCCAACTTTTTGGCCCCAGATCCACCTCTGCTTGGGAAGATAGAGATCTAAAGTCTCAACATAACTATCATCCTTTTATGATAATGAGAAGACACTACCAATTAATGAATCAAGTGGCAACTCAAGTCACTATGTTGTAACTAAAAACAAGGGGTTCCATGTGGCAAGGAGCTGTAGAAAGACATTGCTTTTTACAAAAAAAAAAAAAAAAAAAAAAAAAAAAAAAAAAAAAAAACATCTACATTAACACTTATGCTAAGTTTGGATAACAAATTAGAAGGGAAATGGAAGGGAGGAAAATAGGAGGAAGGGGAAGGAAGGGAAAGTGGAGGAAATGATGAGCTCCATTTTCCCTCCAAATCTCTCCAATTTTGAAGGGATGGTCTTTATTAAAGGAGGAGGGAAAATGGATCCCTCCCTCCCCCTCCCCTTCCCTTCCCTCCCCCAACATATTATCCAAACAAGGAAGTTTGTCTCCCTCCCTTTCCCTTCCCTTCCTTTCCTTCCATTTTTTGTTATCCAAACATAGCCTTAAAGTTTCTAAACAATGTTTTACATTATAGGATCTCCTAGCCTCTCTGATGAATACGAGACCTATGAGACAAATGCAACTAAGATTTGAGTTTCACCAGATCAACTGTTTAAGTATAGGCTAAAAAGAAATTTCATGGTGCAGTAGAACTCTATATCACTAATTGATACACATTATCAATTCCAATAACATAAAGACTAACAGTCTAAAAGTGAACTAATGTCTTTATGAAACACTAATACATGGCCCCCACATGTCCATTAACTACACATATCACCAAGGTCCTAAACGAAAGAAAAAGTTTGACATAAATTCAGGTACATTATTCTATAAGCATATAGTATGCATAATTGTAAAATATGTTTTTTTTTTCCCTTCTATAATCCTATTTACCATACTTGATACCAACACAGGACTGCACATGTAATTCCTACAATGCAGCTCTTTCCCAGAGAACTAATTACAATTGCATGACTGATTATAAAAAGGCAGGCAGATAGGTAAAAAATGTGCAAAAATGGTTGTATAGGTATAGGAAGAGATCATACAGTCAAGAAACCACTAAATCCATACTGCAAAATTGGAATGGTGTTCACACCCAGTTCCAAGTCATTAAGATAAGGACCATCAACATCCATGATGGATTTGACATCAGGAAACCCGGAGAAAGCCCATGTGTGGTTAAGGCGAATACTGTAGTCATATAACTTAGGACTTTGACTGTGAAATACCACTGCCCCTCTGATTTTAGGATATGGACAATTCCTGAAAGAAAAAAAAGACAAAAAAATAAAAAAATGAGTCTACACTGAAAAACAAGCTGAATAAACAGAATTTACATGGTTTGGCACACACACATGCACACACTAAATCCTACAATAGTTTAATCTCCTGTACTGAGACATTCTATCAAGAATCTTGCAAAATTCAATCAGCCCGCCATTCTAAAAGGGTAAAACAAAAACTTCAATGAATGTTTAATTAAACACACATATAATGTACTCACTTCTCTTGATTGCAGGTACCATACAAATCTGAGCGAATGTAGGTTTCAAATTCCAATTCGTCCGTGTAGACTCTAGCAACTAACTGTGAACAAGTTAAATCAATATAAATAAAAGCTCATAAAGATTCAGGAAGTATCTTAAGCTCATACAAATCTGGTAAATGAAAACTTGTAGAAGAGGTTTTCAAAGAAGGTTTTAGAAAAACAAGATGGCCGAGATACAAACCAAGAAATTTCTTGTGTGATTGGATATTTAGTGTTCTTATCTGACTTAATCTTGTTTGCTGGTTTGGCTTGGCTCCATGGTTTGGGATGAAAAAAAAATTCAGAAGGAACATATGTCTTGTACTCCCTTCATTTAAAAATAATGGTTATGGTTTGCTTTTCATCACAACCAAGGCAATCATTGGAAAGTAAGAGAAAAGAAAAAAGTGAAGAGATAAATTATAAGATTATGTATAGTTAAGGAATGTCATAAGAAAAGTATACTTAGATAAAGTAAGTGGAGTAAATGTTTGGAAAGAAGGAATAAATAATGTACGTCCTATGTTCCAAAATAGAAATAGTAAAAGTGTAATCATAATTTTGGAATGGCTGAGTGTGACCATTAGTTCAAAGCGGAGAAGTATGACAACAATTATTGCTTAGGATTCATAGAAGTGATAGAATAGCGCCAACTAAAGCTAGTGTAGAGTTGCACCAACTTTAATGTTGGTTGTATAGGGAAGGATCAACTTTAATTAGGGTGTGCATAATGACAATTCAACACAACCCTCCCCCCTCTCCTTCCTTCGGTCCACACCAGCCTTGCCAACATCAAAGAAATACAAAATAAAACTAGATATGCCAGCTGATGTGTCTATTTTATATAGTATTATACCCCCGTCCCTTGGTCTTAATTAGTAGTGTTTTTGGCTCTTTAGAGCCACTTTTATTACTAATTGGTGTTTTCTAGTGTTTTCGTAGATTTGGTTGACTTTTGCAGGGATTTATACTTTTTGAGTATTTTTCCGAGATATTTTGGAGCAATTACGAACATTGGAGAAGCACGACCAGATTTTATAGCCCAGGGGCGATTAGAGCAATCAAACCAGTGATTAAGGGCTTGGTATGTGTGATACCGGGGCATTTGGACCGAGTATTCAAGACCCAAAGAGGAAACCCAGATTGGCCCGAAGAATTGGAGCCCAATCGTAGTCCAAATAGTGGCCCAAGAGAGCCACCCAGCCAAAAACGCTGGCGCCCAGAGGCGCGCCCGGCCGGGCGGGAGAAGCTTAGGCTGGCGCACGGTGACGCGCCCGGCCGGGCGCGAGATTAGTAGTAATGAGCAAAAAAGGCGCGCGCGATCGGGCGCGTATTATTGTTAGGAGACGATTAGCGTCGTTTAAGTTTGTTTTAGTTTAGGATTTTTGTACGGAGTATAAATACTCCTCCGTAATACGTTTTTAGGACCTCTTTCTTCTTCTCCTTTTTTTTTTACTCTTTCTTTACTCTCTTAATTATTCTCTTAGACTTTCTCTCTCTACTTAGGATCTTTTCTCTCTTTTAACTCTTCTCTCAATTTTTGTTCTTGATTATTTCCATTAATACAGATTAGTTTGGTAACGATTTCTCTTCTCTTAATCTTGTTTCCTTTCATCATGACTTATTTTATTGCTTTGATTTGTTTAGTTTTTAATATGTGTGAGTAGTTTTATTTCTAGGGTTTATGGGGATCCATAAATAATATGAAGGGGTAATTTATTGTTGTTAATTATCAATGCTAGATCAATTTCCAATTGATTGATTTAATGCTCTGTGACTAGATTAGGCCTATCTTTTATGCATGAGTTTGACAATATTGATTCAAGAATCGAGAGATGAGAATTAATGTTTAGGTCTAATTTCAATAGGCAAGTTAATTTATAAATGGTTAAATCAAAATTCGAGAGATGAGATTTAATACCGGTAAATTAATTGTGTGATTGTAATACGTAGCGAGAGCCCTTTACAATAGGGTTAATTGATGCATTGATGATTGACTATTATTGATTATTGGTATTGCATGATAATTTCTTATTGAATTGTTATAATGTTTTACAATTGCGGCTTGTAAAAGTATAGCAATGTTAAATTGATGAATCGAGCAGATGTTAATTTGATATTAAAGGCATTTTCAATAAGAACTTAGATCTAGTAAATTGCGAGAGCCTGTTAGATCTATGTTGGTTAATAAATTGCGAGAGCCTGTTAATCATGTTATTTATGCAATGTCAATGATTGATTACTATGTTTTACCCTGGAGTATTATTTATTGGTGAACCTATGCCCTAGATCCTTTCATATATTGTTTTCTTCCTATTCTCAACCTTAGTAGTTTAGTTTCTTACTTAATTATAAATATTGGTTACTTAAATAATTTAGATTATAACAACTAATTAGAATTAAAAAGACTTGTTTCCCTGTGGAGTTCGACCCTACTTCTCTATCTACTTTAGTTAGAGATTTAGGTAATTATTTTTTATTAGGGGATACGACTTTACCCTGTCAAAATTTGGTGTCGTTGCCGGGGAAACGGTTTTATTTTTTATTTCTAGTTATTATTAGAGTCTAGATTATTTTGTTTTATTTTGTTTTATTTTTATTTTATTTTATTTATTTATTTTATTTTTATTTTTTTTTATGAGTTGAAAAATATCCATGCTTATGTCACTACAAGAATTATATAATTTTTATGCAGCACCTAACTATTGTAGTTGTCAACGTCTTTGTCATGAAAATCCTGAATGCCCTTATAGTGAGTTTTTTGTGCGTGCTCCGTATGATTTTAGAGTCTTTCCATATACATATGATCATATTCGGAAACGATTAGTTGCTAACGAAAGTTATTAGAAGGCTCTTGATGAAAAAGTCTATGGACACTATAATAATATGAATGTTATTGAGGATGAAGAACCATCGGTTATAGAATTTGTGGTTGAAAAATCATTAGTTGACGAATCGGTGATTGAAAAATCATTAGATGTAGAAACGGTGGTTGATAATTCTTTTTTTGATGATGAAGTTATTTGTGAGGGTAAAATTTTAAAGTCATTATTGGATGATAAAGACAATGACTACCTCCATGTTCGTTATATTAATTCTAAATTTTTAGCGGAGGAAGTAGAAGGTTGTGGTGTATTTTCATCTCCCTCTTTTGATTTTTCTTTCTACCTTGAGTTCTCTTTATGTGCTCCTAACTTTTTCTTTGTAAGGATAAATGTGCTTGCTATTAAGCCCTATATAGTGCTTAATGAAATGTTTGCAGGAGCGTTTGATAAGTTACTCAACGCATTGAATTCTTGCGATTGAGAGAAGGATTATTGTCGAGCGGGACCTTGATAAACTAGCGCTTTGCGGGAGGCAACCCGTATTTTGTTGCTTTTTATTTAGTTTTTTTTTTATTTGTTTGTGTGTTTTCTTTTTGTTTTGTTTTAGAGAGGTAGAGGAGAGTATATCTTATATTTGTGGGAGTGTGATTTTGTGCAGAGATACTAGAAAAGTTGAGAAAAGATCGAAGGGCTAGAGGAATCCGGGGGCAATTAGCAGCAGCAAGCTGCCCCGTCAAATCCATAGCACGGGCCCGATCAGGCGCGCGTACACGTCAGCAAACTTAGTCAACTTCGACAGGCCATAACTTTTGCGTTTCTTATCCGATTTTTGCGTGTGACCTGTCATTGGAAAGCTCTTCAAGTCTAGTTTCCAATGCAATTGGAATCACTGTATTATCATTTATATATCAAAAGTTATGATCAGAATAGTGCACCTAACTCAAATTTGAACTTTTTCCCACTAACACTTTGTTTCTTTCTTGCCCAATTTTCTTTCTGATTTAGCTTGGGGGGAGGTTCTCGTGTTCGTATGGTACATCTTTCACTCTCTCTCTTCTCTTTTTATTTTTATTTTTCTTAGTATAGATTTTATTACTTTCTTAGGTTATTTTTGTTCCAATGAATTGTAAATCATGCTTCCCAGTGCCCCCTTACTTTGAGAAAAATTGTTTTGATTCCTGGTATTTGATGATAAGCATTGTGGATTAGTCGATCATGATTTGATGTTTGATTGCCCTGAAACTTTAACATGCGTCAATTTTGTCCAACTACTTGTGAATATAGTGCTTGACTAGTTGACTTGGTTAGGAATGTGTGATAGTTACATAATTCCTGGTATGTCAATGAATTTGAGTATTGGTTTGCTACTATAAGTAATGTTTATATGATTCATTATTATGCACATTGTGGAGGACGAAGGCATTTGTTCTTTTAGGTGGCCTCCAAATATTGTAGATACATTTGTTCCCTTCTTGCTACCCCATGTTATTGCCTTGACCTTTTGTTGTTTATTAGTCGTATTACAAGCCTATTTTGCCCCATTGGTTACTAGTCCCAAGCTTGGCTTGGGGGAGCTATTAGTGAGTGAGGTGAGGGATTTTGTAGTGTGCTTATTATTTGCGCAATTTGGGTGGGATTTGAGAAGTTGTTTTGTTTTTTATCATGTTTATTTTTGATGAGTTTGAAAGTTATATTTTCTTGAAAAAATAAAGTATGATGTTATGAAGAAAAAAAGAGAAGTTCAAAAAAAAAAAAAAAAAAACAAGTGAACTTCAATAGAAAAAAAAAAGTAAAAAGAAAAAATTGTTCAATGTTCAAATGTTCTAGTTGGAGGTTGATCAAAAGAAGAGAAAATTTGAGCTTCAATAAAAAAAATTCAAATTTGGAAAATAAAGTTTGTTTATTCACTCTATTTCTTCATTATTATATTTTATGAGTGAAATTGTAAGAGTTGGGATTATTTATTATGATTGGAGTATATTTGGTTGATGTTAGAGTTGGTTATGTAGGAGATGTATGATCACTATTTATTTTGATCATGGGTTTTATTAGGATATAGCTCCTTTAAGCATAGCTTTTCTCTCACTTATTCCCAAATTTATCCTACCCTTTACCCTAGCCTTACATTACAAACTTTAAAGACCTTCTGACCTTTGTGCATAGAATTGTATGAATGTGAAAGTGTCGCTTATCAATGCAAGTTATGATTTGACATATTTCGAGTCGACTAGTAGGTTGAGCGTTCATTGTTTTATACACACGAGAGTGTGAGTTGGGAGGGCATTGTTCACATAAAGGGGTTGGATGGAGAGCGATCGAGTACATCTTTTACTCGCCACAAAAATGAGAGTCGAGTGTGTGAGCACTAGTCTTGAATTCTATATGCTCTTGTGGTTTGCTCTATTTGACAATTGTTAGAGAAGAAAGGTAATTGGATGGATTTGATTGGTTGACTTTGAAGCATGTTTATTTGGTTTACCCTGGATCGTTTGTGCTTGATTTTTACTTTTTGGGGTGAAGCATATTTATTGATTCATTGATGAGATCTTTGCTTAGGGACAAGCAAAGGTTTGGCTTGGGGAGTTTGATGTGTCTTTTTTATATAGTATTTTACCCCCGTCCCTTGGTCATAATTAGTAGTGTTTTTGGCTCTTTAGAGCCACTTTTATTACTAATTGGTGTTTTCTAGTGTTTTCGTAGATTTGGTTGACTTTTGCAGGGATTTATACTTTTTTAGTATTTTTCCGAGATATTTTGGAGCAATTACGAACATTGGAGAAGCACGACCAGATTTTATAGCCCAGGGCCGGTTAGAGCCATCAAACCGGTGATTAAGGGCTTGGTATGTGTGATACCGGGGCATTTAGACCGAGTATTCAAGACCCAAAGAGGAAACTCAGATTGGCCCGAAGAATTGGAGCCCAATCGTAGTCCAAATAGTGGCCCAAGAGAGTCGCCCGGCCAAAAAGGCTGGCGCCCGGAGGCGCGCCTGGCCGGACGGGAGAAGCTTAGGCGGGCGCCCGGTGACGCGCCCGGCCGGGCGCGAGATTAGTAGTAATGAGCAAAAAAGGCGCGCCCGATCGGGCGAGGCACCGCCCGATCGGGCGCGTGTTATTGTTAGGAGAGGATTAGCGTCGTTTAAGTTTGTTTTAGTTTAGGATTTTTGTACGGAGTATAAATACTCCTCCGTAATACGTTTTTAGGACCTCTTTCTTCTTCTCCCCACCCGATCGGGCGCGTGTTATTGTTAGGAGACGATTAGCGTCGTTTAAGTTTGTTTTAGTTTAGGATTTTTGTACGGAGTATAAATACTCCTCCGTAATATGTTTTTAGGACCTCTTTCTTCTTCTCCTTTTTTTTTTACTCTTTCTTTACTCTCTTAATTATTCTCTTAGACTTTCTCTCTCTACTTAGGATCTTTTCTCTCTCTTAACTCTTCTCTCTCTTAACTCTTCTCTCTCTCTTAACTCTTCTCTCAATTTTTGTTCTTGATTATTTCCATTAATACAGATTAGTTTGGTAACGATTTCTCTTCTCTTAATCTTGTTTCCTTTCATCATGACTTATTTTATTGCTTTGATTTGTTTAGTTTTTAATATGTGTGAGTAGTTTTATTTCTAGGGTTTATGGGGATCCATAAATAATACGAAAGGGGTAATTTATTGTTGTTAATTATCAATGCTAGATTAATTTCCAATTGATTGATTTAATGCTCTGTGACTAGATTAGGCCTATCTTTTATGCATGAGTTTGACAATATTGATTCAAGAATCGAGAGATGAGAATTAATGTTTAGGTCTAATTTCAACAGGCAAGTTAATTTATAAATGGTTAAATCAAAATTCGAGAGATGAGATTTAATACCGGTAAATTAATTGTGTGATTGTAATACGTAGCGAGAGCCCTTTACAATAGGGTTAATTGATGCATTGATGATTGACTATTATTGATTATTGGTATTGCATGATAATTTCTTATTGAATTGTTATAATGTTTTACAATTGCGGCTTGTAAAAGTATAGCAATGTTAAATTGATGAATCGAGCAGATGTTAATTTGATATTAAAGGCATTTTCAATAAGAACTTAGATCTAGTAAATTGCGAGAGCCTGTTAGATCTATGTTGGTTAATAAATTGCGAGAGCCTGTTAATCATGTTATTTATGCAATGTCAATGATTGATTACTATGTTTTACCCTGGAGTATTATTTATTGGTGAACCTATGCCCTAGATCCTTTCATATATTGTTTTCTTCCTATTCTCAACCTTAGTAGTTTAGTTTCTTACTTAATTATAAATATTGGTTACTTAAATAATTTAGATTATAACAACTAATTAGAATTAAAAAGACTTGTTTCCCTGTGGAGTTCGACCCTACTTCTCTATCTACTTTAGTTAGAGATTTAGGTAATTATTTTTTATTAGGGGATACGACTTGGTGCGTTTTTTTAAAGGTGCGGTTTGGTGCGGTTTGAAAAAATTATAAACCGCATTTTTGCGGTTTGGTGCGGTTTATGATCCAAACCTCACTGCGAGTGTGCAATTGCATATGTCCAACTACCATTCTCTTTCTCTATTTTAATGTAATAAATTATATGCCTTGTGGTCACTAAATAATAATGGAATTATTAAATTGGTCTTTGTTCTTGCGTACTTGTTTTACGTGATCAAAAATGTTCTCAAAGAAAAATATATATAGTCATGTGATTTGAAAATTTGGAATCACTTGGTTCTTCTAATTTTTAAATAGTTGTCTTTGTTCCTGATTCTCTTTAATTTTTTTGGTTGGTAAAGGTATATGGATACGAGTGAGGAAGTTTATATAAATGACTTAATTATGAGACAACTTAAATTTAATATCTAGTTTTGAATCTTTGGGATTTGATTGGGATTGCAAACTAATTTCATGACTTGTAGACCACCTAAATAATGGTCTGAATAGTTTTAGTTGTGATTTTATTGTTGTAAATTCCCAAGGTTTGAACCCTGGTTTCAAATAAAATATGGATTTTGATGAAATAAAGAATTTCAAATTTTGTGTGTGAAACAAACTTCATTGGTGATGCTTCAGCGATTCAACAAACAAAATTCTACATGCTAGAAATAACATTGCAAATACAAGTAATGTTTTAGCAATATCCTTAAAATTTGATGATGACTACTAGCAGCTATCACCCATAATTTTCCTAGCAATCTTATAATTGAAACACCAACACCTTCTCTGATCTAACTTCTTATTGCCGCTAATACTAACTGAAAATCTCTGGTCAACCCAAGAATATGGTTGGAACATAGATCACCACTAAATTTTACCTCCAAAAAAACCCTAATTTAAGATTAATCCCACAAAAATAGTTTCATAGCCTGAACTTTCCCTTTCCAAACCTCTTCTCACTGAACACCTATCCAACCAGCTAAATTGACCACAAACTTATCACATCTACCATGGAATAGCAACAGCACCATCAATGTGCATAGCAACTTCTCACATCCCCTAGATCCCAAAGCCTTCATCTACAACAATGAGTGTCTGTGGGCCATCATAGAAGAATAAAGACAAAAGTGTATGGTAGAGAGAGAGAGAGAGAGAGAGAGAGAGAGAGAGAGAAATCCACCAACTTCCCAAAATAGAACTCTAAATCCATTCGGTTAATATCTAAAGAGTTTGTTTCAGCTCACAAATATTGCAGCAGCAGTGAATCATAAAGGAATACAGAAATATGTAATAATTTAAATTTGGAGCAAAAGGTAGACTAGCAAAACTTAAAGAAAATTTTATGAACCAAGGTAGAGCCAAGCAATGCAAACCTTCAGCAAGGGGAACCGCAATGACAGCAAGTTAATCATTGTTCTTGTCTCGCTTGAATTGGGAGTAAAAGCTAAATACTCATTCTTTTCAGCTAAGAACGCCAGAATTTGGTCAAAGGGACGAGATATATCGCCTTTACCAACCTCCAACAGCATATCTTTCCAAATATTCCTATAAGAAATTTAGCAAGTCAAGTATCATTTTACTTCTACAAATGTTAATATTTACATACAATTCAAAGTAGTTCCTTTGGGTAAAAATTACCAAAAACTAAACAACATAATTGCAACAAATAAGCAACGAGGACAAAAATGATGTATCCAATATCTTTTAATTTCTGGGTTCAGGTCAAAGGAAGTAACTCCTAGCTCCAATGCTGGTCTCTAAGGATTTTCAATGATGTGAGTTGCTACCGAGTCTGGATTAATAATTTAATTGTAAATTTTTCTCTTTTCTTATCTTTTTAACATGGACATTGTGCCTCAACTTAGAAATTTTCACTCACAAACTTATAATTTGGATAAAACAAAGAGATGAAAAGTACTTCCCTCTTCCAATTCATTTAAGTTGCAAGCCATTTGGTTTCTAGCCATTTTAATTTAGCTCCTTCTAAATACTACCTCCGTTACATATTAGTTGCAACTTTTGCCATTTAGGGGTGCTACCTATTAGTTGCAACTTTCTATTTCTTTCTTTTTTTGGTAAATTTTTTCATATAAAATTACTACTTTACCCTTACTAAAAAAATCATAATCTCAATTACCTATTATAATCTGATCACCTTAACCATTAACCCAAAGTCATTAAATTAATGATTCTCAACAAATTAATTATTCACCAACCAACTTCATTCACCCTTCAAAAAAAAATGGAACCAACTTCATTCAATGAATCAAACCAATTCATTGCTATTTTCCAGATTTGGTGAAATTTCAATACCGTAGTTCTTCTGGGTTCTTCTTCTTCCATGAGTGGTTCTTCTTCTTCCAAGAGTTTCTCTTTCCTTCCTCCATGAATTTCACTCTCATACCTCAATCTAGCGTCTAACCCACGAATTCCTTACAATTGCACTTTGATCTAACCCACGAAATTCATCACAATTGTTCTCAAACCCACGAAATCCTCACAAAACCCTCGAGTTCGTCACGAATTTCCTCACAATCGCTCTCAAACCCACGAAATCCTCACAAAACCCACATGTTCGTCACGAAATCTTCTCAAAACCTCAAAAAATCCTCAAGTCTACACTTAAATATGGTTTCTGGGTGATTTCTGAGTTGTTTAATGTGCGTGTGGGTGGTTTCTAGGTTGTTAGAAGTTGCGAGTGGTGTTTTCAGGCTGTTGGGCGACGATGGCGGGGTAGCTGCTGTTGGGCGACGGTTGCGGGGTGGCTGTTGTTGGTGGTGGTGGTTAATTTTTTAATTACCTTCACTTTCTCTCTCCTATCCTTAATTATCTATTGTTTGATTCATTAATCAGCTATTATGAAATTTTGTCTTAAAATCCGTGCCAAGGTGAAAGTTGCAACTAATATGTAACGGAGGTAGTATTTTATTTATCAGAAAACTAGCTAAGCCATACAAACAGAAAATGGCATGGTCTCATGTTGATGCAGAGAAAAGATGACAAATCAAAATAAAATATCAAAAGTTAAGGATAGCATACGGTTGGGCAGGGTGTATGCGTGTGTCAACTTGAGTTCGAACAGCAATCAACATCAGCATCACAACTGTAGGAAGAAATATCTACATAAAAAGGAAAGGTAAAAGATGAATAATTCAGAAAGATGAAAAATACATCTTAGATATCCTTCTTGCCATCATCACATAATTCATAAGCCACAAAGGATCAGCCGCAGCCAAATAAATGCATACATAAAATACAAAACAAACTAACATGAATTAACAACTAGTATTGGTCTTTAGAAAAATTTATCAAAATCGAGATCCTATTTTGAATCGAACGGGCTCTAAGAAGTAAATCATAAAATCGAACGACTCTACTGCCATGCATAATCAAGACGTCATATCCAAATTTCATTGAAAATACACAAATTCTAGGTAAAAAGCCTAGGGTTCGTTTGGCATTGTTGCGGTTTTCAGTTTTTTGGTTATTGTATTTTAAAAGTGTATGATATATGTCATATAATGAATAAAAAATTAGTCAAACTTATTAAAATCATGCTAATTTTGAAAACTGGCAACTAAAAAGTGAAAACACATTTTTCTTGTTTCCTGTTTTTGGTTTTTTGTTTTCAAAAAAACTGAAAACTCAAAACAAAAAAACAATGCCAAACAAGCCCCTAATTATTTATTAAAAATAGTTGCTTGCCAAAAAACAACTAATAATTGACAATATATATTTATAAATAACATTGTACGCATGTTTTAAACTTGTAAGGTTTTCACTAATTAAGAGAAATATGTAAAATAAGGTGGAATCTTAAATCTAATCGTATGGACATACATGAATCATAGAATCGTAACTAACTAAGATTTAAATCGAGATTTTTATAACTATGCTGCAAAAAATACTATTATCGCAACTAGAAACACATTTCCCAAATTTACAAACAAAAGACTAATGATGGATGGATAAACCATTGTTTACCTACATTTGACAAGAAAAAAGTTCCTGTTCTAGCGTAGAGTTAGCGCCTTACTAGAAAAGTGACTATCATTCATCCAAAATTTACATCAAAGATCCTTACATCTATATATATCCAAGTCCACTAGATGCTTTGTTTCCATCTCTATTAAAGATTTTGTGACCCACAAGTGGTAGATCATTAGATGTAGGAAGCACATATGTATTGTAATGGCATTAGAATTGAGCGCCACATCGTGTCACACAAGTATCTAAGAACCATACCTTTGACCATTGATAAATTGAATATCTTAGATATAAATTTAAAATATAAAAACAAAAACAAAAAACCTAGCCTCATATTGAAGCAGGGAATGCACTTAGGCAGTTAGTCCCCGTTTGGTTTGATGTAAGCATTTTCAATGAAAATTAATTGTCATGAAAAACATATTTTCATATAAAAACACAATTGCAAATTAGTTTTCCTTTGTTTGGTTGCATACAAGAAAAGTTAAAGAAAAGTAAAACATAAGAGTGAGAATGTCACTATGAATGATAGGAAAGTAAATAAAAGGTAGGGAGGATGGAGGAAAATGTGGCTTCCCTTGTTTTGTAAAGGAAAATATTTTCTATCATTAAGGATGCAATTTTCCACCATTGGTGAAAATTGTTTCTTACCCCTTCACAAACCAAACAAAGAAAAAGGAAAAATCATTTTCCATGAAAACATTTTATATCAAACCAAAGAGGGCCTTAAAGGAAGCAAAAAGTAGTGCATTTCTTCCTTTCCAAATGCCTCATTTAAACCAAACTTGAAACATCGAGGTTGTTTAGGTGAGCAAATTAAGCAATAATCACTTCCAAAATCCTAGTAGAACACTAATTTTCCTCTATCCACTTAGTAGTCCCCTCCCAACTATTCTATATTTTAATACACCTCTAGCAACATTCCAACGTATCCTAATTCAAAAAGTAAAATCTAACAGCCAAATTAAAGACTCTAAACCAGCTTGTCAAAAAAAAAAGACTCTAAACCAAAAATAAATAAATAAATAAATAAGTAAAAATTGAATTATAACCATTTCATATTTTCATTCATTCAATCCCTAGCTCTTTAGTCTGAAAATGAGAGCCCCTCCATTTCACTCATTCCTAGTGTTCTTTAATCTACAAAATTACAAAAACTACGCGAAAAAAATAAATAAATAAATAAAAAATAGAGACAGGAACATGATCAAGCTTTCATTTTCGGAACTACAGGACACCCAAAAACAGCAATCAACTGTACGATCAAAAATCTTATAACAGCAAGCAACAATCAAAAGTAGAAAAACAACAAAAATTCAGTTCAAACATTCAAAACATCAAAAAAAAAAACAAGGATCAAAACCTCAGCAAAAGTAGCGTAAGGATGGCGAATTTTAAGGAGCCAGTTTTTGCGAAGCATCGCCTTCAACTGCCGCCGTGATTCCGCCATAATCGGAGAGAGAAAACCCTAATTTCAACGATAACGTCACCGGAAAAACATCGGAGTAGGAGAGAGAATTTAGTGAGAGAGATAACAAAAATTAAAATAAAATGCAGAAGTAAAGTGGAGGTGGCGGGCGGGAGGTGTTGAAAAAAAGAAACCAGTAGAAACAAGTACACAAGTGTTGGGAAAATTGGATGTTAGTGTAATCGGAAGTTTCCTTTGATTTTTATGTTAAAAATAGTATTTTAGTACTCTGTTGTTTTCAATTGAAAAATATAGTGGGGAATAATCGTCGTTGAAAATACTCTTTTCTATTTGTGTTTGTAGTGAAGCTAACGTTATTTATTCCTTGCTATGTTTGTAAGTAAGCAATTTGATTTTCGAATGGATGGGGACAAGTTTATTTATTAGTAGTACTAGGACGGTTTCGATCGTCATTACTTTATTGGAGTGGTTCGTGGGGGTGTAATTGTATACTCTGTAGTTATTTTATAAATGAAGTATTAGAATACTCTTTTTGTTTTATTTTTTTAAAATGCATCAGTTTTACTGGTACATTTGTTAAGGTGTAACTTTGACGATTAATATGTTTAATTATCCGTAAGTAAAAATTATAAAATAATTATATTATGAAAGTAACATTTTGACGAATCTAATGATACATTATATAATAACATTTATTTATTTCATAATAGCAAAAAAATTACGTCAACCATGACATGTGAATAGTGCAAAAGTCAAACTGAAACATTTTAAAAACGGAGGAGTATGATATAAATGAGTGAGCCCATTTGTCAGGCTAATTTACAAATCTGAAAATCGGTATAAGTCCACAAAAACGGTTATAGATAATTGAGAGTAAAATGATTAAAATTCTGTCAACAAACAGATAATTGTAGCATGTCTTTGACATATTGAAACCGAAAGCTCTTTTTGAAATCCTCTTCTCTCTCCTTTTCTGTACTAATTTTTTTTAATGAGCGTGTTAGCTACTCCTCCATCTAGGGATGTCAATTTAATCCGAGTTCGATTCGAATCCGATCCGATCCGAAGGAAAAAAATCCGATTCGAATCCGTTTAAAATTAGTCCGAATCCGAATCCGAATCCGATAAAATAGATCCGAATCCGAATAGGAGTTGGATCGGACTTGGACTCCACGCAAAGTCCGACGGAGTCTGATCCGAGTCCGAATCCGAGAGTATAAGCATATGCTCTATAACTTGAGACAATTATTTGCTTGTTTTATAGCAAAATTTTGTTATGTAACTTTGTTTATAATTTGAATATGTCATGTTTATACTTTAATTGGTATGACAATACAAGCAATTATAGGTATATGACATTACAAAAAATAAAAATAAAAAAAGTAACCGGATCATTTTGGAGGTTCGTATAAACGGACCGGATTCAGATCCGAAAATTACGAGTCGGATCGGATTCGGACTCGGACTTTTCGGATTCGGACTCGGATTCAGATCCGAGTCCAGGGTCCGTTTACTAAACGGATCGGATTCGGATTTAGCCACATCCGACTCGAATCCGATCCGTTGTCATTCCTACCTCCATCTCACATTCACGAGGCATGATAGGCCACTACCAAGTATGGAGTATACCTAGGGGCAAAAATGTACTTTCACGCAAAAGCTTAGAGAGTAATACATTTAGTTACTAAGTTGTTAAAAAATGCTCTCTCTCCTCTTTCTCGTTTTCTACTTTTTATCCACCGTAATTCTCACCTAAATAATAACAATATATTCATCAACAATAACACTATAATCATAATAAAATAAATCAATTTCTATAAAACGATAACATTTAAATCAAACCAACAAAAATCCCAGAAAACAGAGAACATATAAACTAAGATTCACATCGATAAAAATAACTTTTAACAATTTGAAAGTAAAATTAATTAAAATTCAACAAAAAAAAATTTATTCATTTATGCAACGATTGTATATTAATCAACAATAATAGTATACTATAAAAACGGGGGGGGGGGAAGATAATCATTATGCCTAATTTTTATATCGAATTATCTACATAATTTCAGGGAGATAGATATGAGCTTTGTGCTTAATTTTGCTGCACATAGGATCAAGCCTTCTACTCGAGATCTCCACTGAATTTTTGCGTGGGATAATTCGTTGAATAGCTTATTAATGGTAACTTAGTTTTCTTTAGTGGTTTTCCGACTCCTATTTTATAGATTTCGCGTGAAATAATAGTGGGTTAAGCACCTTTAGTTTTTTTAACCCCCATTATCTCTCTATTTCTTATTTTATTATTATTAACCTTTTTTAATAATCAATTTATTTTTAGTATGGACCATTTTGGGTACCATTACTTCACACTTAGCTTACTCCCCTCTTTTCATCCAAGTAACTATATAAGCCACTAATAAGCCCAAAACTTGAATTCTCAGCTCATCCTTTAGTTCTCATTCTTAATCCTATAAATCTCATTCCCACGTGTTATGGAATAGGACCGTTTGGGACTTTGAATCTGATTGTAATAACAATGCAATTTAAAAAGAGAAAACAAAAAAAATGAACAAAACAAAACACATAAGCTTTATAGTGGTTCACTCAAAATGAGCTACATCGACTTTAGGGGAAAAGAGATAAAGCTTCAATTCTATTACCAACTTCAATGGAGGAAAAGAATTACAAGAGATGAAGCTATGTGTGCTAATACACTACGTGGTTCTTAATTCAACCAACATGAGAAGACCAAAAGACTTTATGCATAAGTCTTATATCTCATATGACTTAAGAAGAAGAAAGAAACAAGACACCTATGACACCATATTTGCATGTGCCCCTAAAGTCAATAAAGTAATCATGGCATTAAAGTCATCATGACATGCAAAATTAGACTAATAGACATTATCATGACATTTAAGACCAGACTATTAGACATATCATGACACTAAAGTTTTCATGACATGCAAGACTAGACTAATAGACATTACCATGACATTCAAGACCAGACTCCTAGTGACACTAAACTCGTCATAACATGCATGACTTAAACTAGTCATTACATGTACAACTTTACCGTTTTCTCTTAGATAGTTTGTATGAAACCCGATTACGAGTCGCACATTAACACCACATGTTAAAACGCTATGGTAATGTTAAATTTATGTTAAATGTAGGCTTAAATTTAAAACCTTGGCGCCAAAAACTGTTAAAAGAGCAAGTGTAGCAACTACCAGCAAACACCAGATCATTTTCAAAGCGCACAATGTTGGAGCTTTTTCAATCCTCTCTACTCTTCTCTCATCAGCAACTCTGCTATGCCGACATTCTCTCTCCTTCTCAGGTACTCTTTCTCTCTCTTAATTCTTCTCCTTCTCTCTCTAAACAACTCACAGTTTCTGCCTGAATTTCCAACAGGTTCGAGCTCGAATCGAGGTAGCAGTCTTGAATTTCCTGAAGATCTTGAACTCGCCGAATCCAGAAATCTCCGATCTTCCTCTGGTTTGATTTCATCTTCATCTTCTTACTCTATCAATTTCAGAATCAAAATCTTTCTGTTTCAATTGAAGTTTTGATTGTAAATAAAAATTGGAAATTCTTGATTGAGTGAGCAGGCGAGTCGAAATTCAAAGAATACGAATGTTTATCGAGGATTAATGAGTGATAATTCACACATATTTCTCTCGCACTCGTTCTCGAAACGATCTTTGATGAGAGAAAATGCTATGAAAGCCTTTGTTCGAGGTTGGTCTATCTATCGCCTTCTAAGTGTTTGTTAAAATGTCAATGAGAAATTTCTTTATTTTCTTCAGTTTTTGATGGTTTTAATGTATTGTACAGTGTGGAAGGTGATGGATATGTGTTACCAGATATTGGCGGAGGAAAAGAGAGTTACTCAACGAGAACTATACTACAAATTGCTTTGTACTTCATCTGAATATTTTAGCTCTCAAACACAGGTCAATAGGACTGTTCAAGGTCAATTTTTATGCTATCGTGTTGGTATTCGTGTTCTTTTATTGAAAAACCTTTTAGCAATTTGTGTTGATACATTCATGAAAATAGAAATTGCATACATAAATTTTATTATGGAATAAAATATGTATACTCCCTCATATTCAAATTATGTCATTTTAGCTTATTTTGTTGGTTATAAACAAATATTAGTCATTCTATATATGCATGTTACAGGTCATATGAAGTATAAAAACATATGAAAGGCTACTTTACCATATTGATGCAATTACCAATTTCTTAATGTAGGAATTTGTTAATACAGTGGCTAAAATCACTCATATTCTGGATTATAAGGACTAGAGTTAGTTACTTGAGGCATCTCATTTCTTTTTTCTAAGGGCGCCTAATCTTAACTTTCTTGTTTCAATGGCAATTTTGGACTAATCACTTGCTACAAGGTGGGTAATTGTTTGCTATGTATGCTGCAGATGTGGTTGCATTGCTTCATTGCAGCCGGTATAGTCTTGGGATCATGGCTTCTACAAGAGGGCTTATTGCTGGCCGGATACTGCTTCAGGTACCAAGCCTCTCTCTTTCCTGGTAAATACTAGGACATTAATGTAAAATTCAAACTCGGGGATAAGGATTTGGTTCAAATTCGGATACAATTGTTTGACCCCATCTATCATAGTTAAGTTGAACTGTCCAGGATTCCAAATGTCTACATATATATTCTAAGTTGCTGCGAAGAGTCCCAGAAACATAAGTTGGCAATATTGAATAGCAATGGTGCAATACATTACTTGCAACACCTGAGATGTGGGGCTTCTTCCTTTGCAAAAATGATCATGTACTATATTCCAATTGTTTCCATTAGTTTAACATATGAAGGAAAACTTATAGAGCTTTGAAGAGGTTGCTGCCTCTGTCCACAATATCTACGTATTATAATCACAGGTCATTCGGTATATTTATACAGAACTTGCTGACTTGTTGCATGCATTTTCAATGATGGATAGGAGCCAAACAAAGAGGTCGTGGACTGTTCAGTTTGTGGGTCATCAGGGCATCCTATCTCAGGCGATCTTAGCATACTAGAATCTCTCAATATGAAAACAGATGCACGATACATAATTGTGATAGAGAAGGTAACATCGTTATGGATTGAACTATTGAAGTAGCCACCAAATGAAGGCTAGTTGCATTGCTTCAACAATTGTTTTGATCTGTTCAGCATGCTATATTACAACGATTGGTTGAAGATTGCTTCTTTAACCAAGTCCCAAGCATACTTATCACAGCCAAAGGGTACCCAGATCTAGCCACAAGGTATGCTCCTATGCTACACGTTATCTAACTTGCAGCTTATTCTAGGCAAGATTCATAATCAACTCCCTCACTGCTCTTCCAAAGCAGGTTTCTGCTTCATAAGATGACCAAAGCTTTCCCAAATCTGCCTATTCTGGCACTGGTTGATTGGTACATATCGCTTTCTCTTTCTATTTTATCCTTGCGTTGCTGATGTATTGATCTTTCTAGCATCCACTTGTGAAGGAATCCGGCAGGACTTAGTATTCTGTGCACCTACAAGTATGGAAGCATTGGAATGGGACTTGAGGCATATAAATATGGTAACTGCAGCTAATACTTGTACAAGCACATAGATGTTACTTTCTCAAGCTGCAGCTTGACTTCTATCATGTTTTTGTGTTTCAGCTTGTAATGTGAGATGGTTAGGAGTGAGAGGAGATGATCTGCAGCTGATACCTGAAGAATCTATGACCCCACTGAAGCCGAAGGACAAACAAATTGCAAAAAGCCTCACATCTTTGGAGATACTTCCGGTAGTCAATAGAAGCTCATTACATTTCACGTTCAGCACTAGATCTTGTGAAAATTACTTTGGACATAAACTTACCTAGAAGTTTTTACCAGCGTAAATTGAGCACAATTCTGTCTACTGCAGGATGATTATCAGGAGGAGTTATCCCTAATGGTTCAACATAGCCAAAGAGCAGAGATTGAAGCTCTCTATTGTCATGGATATGATTTCTTAGGAAAATACTTGGCAAAGAAAATAGTCCAGGCCAATTACATATAGAAGATGAACAGGAGTGGCACATACACAGCATCATAAAGAGCGAGTCTGGTAAATAATTGAACCTTCTCCGAGGAAGACTGATCAGTGTGATAAACCAAACAATTACGTGCTGCTTTTAGTCAATTACATCAACTGAGGATGTAGAACAATTTAACGCAAGTAAAATAGGCATACTTGACATTCCTTTATACTTTGATGAATGTAAATCTATTAACCTATACTAAAAGCAAATCCTTTTATGACACTTGTCATTATCTTGTGAAAAAAATTTCCCGCCTTTTTTGCATTTTTTTTTTTTGCAAAATCTTTAAGTAAACTATTTATACTTTATGATATTTTCTTTCTATTTTGACAATCATATTACATATATATACCCAAATGAAATATTTCTGAATATCTTTTATATACTTTATATTTTGTAATATTATTGTAAAAAACATCAGCACGTTTCTGGTGCGGCTGGCTGCACGGTGCGACAAGGTGTCATATCAGTAACCCTTCTATTAATCCCTCAAGTAACCCCACTTAAGTAACCCCCCAGACAAAGTAACCACTGACCGACTTAGTAACCCCAAGTAACCCCTAACCGACTTAGTAACCCCTAACCGACTTAGTAACCCTTAACCTAATAACCCCTAACCGACCTAGTAACCCCAAGTAATCCTTAACCGACCTAGGAACCCTTAGTAACCCCCTACCTAGTAACCCCTAACCGACCTAGTCTCCCCTGACCAACCTAGTAACCCTTATAGCCCCTGACCTAGTAACCATTAACCCGCACCCAAACCCACCGTAAGCACCACCACCACCAACATTTCGCAGTCGCCGTCTTCAAAACCTTAAACTCCACCACACCACCACCAACTCCCGTACCATTAACAACCATTAAAATTGTTTTAAAAAAAATGATAATCGAACAAATACCTCAAAATAAATATTGGCTTCGAATTTCACTTAAAATATGGCTAAAAAGGCCAAATTCAGCCATAAAAACTCTAGTCTAGAGTTTTCATGGCTGAATTTGGCCTTAAAACCTCTAGCTTGTTTTTCGACGACGAAGTGCGAGGAGCTTCCTTATCCCTTACCACTGCTACTCCATTTAACTTGTTTAATTTTAGTGGGTTAACTAGAGAAGATGAAAATAGGAGAGAGAAAGAGGAGAGATAGAAAAGAGTTCATGAAAGGAGTGTGTTTAGGTGAGAAGAAGAAAACAGGAAAGAGAATGGGAGATAGAGAAGAGAGAAAAAAAATTTAAAAAAATTATATTGCAGCCGGCCGTACGGAACGGCCGCATATGAAACTTTGTAAAAAAAACATTTAACAACCGTGCATTGCACGGGATTTAAAAGCTGGTTATAATACCTAAGAGTAAACAATACTAACATGTATAACTCTCACAAACAACTGAAACAAGCATTATATTATTAAGTGTGAGAATGTGAATGAAGCACCCTTATTCTTTCATAGTAAAATAACAACTATAGTACTCCCTCAGTTTTTATACTTGATGTTTTAGCCTTTTCACCTGTAAATGTACTTAGAAGTTTTTAGATGATTTTGAATAAGAAAGAAAAAGTTTGGCTTCATTTCTTAATAGAGTCTCAATGTTTAAAAGTGAATTAGGAACCATATCAAATGTATTAAGTAAATACGAAATCCATAACATTGCACCTTTTTTCCTCAAAAAAAAATAAAAAAATAAAAAAATAAAAAAAAACCATTGCACCTTTAAATTCAAAAAATAGTGTAGAAGCTTTAGAAGAAGAGAAATAAAAAAAAAAAAAAGAAAAAAAAAAGGACAACGAGTAATAATTATTGTCATTGGCAATAATTCATTTTATAGGAAATTAACTCTTCATAGGAGTACATTGCTATTTCTTTGGTTAATATTAATGGGGGATCAATATTAATGGGGGATCAAAAAAAGGGTTAGAACTACAATTAGATTAATCAAATGGAAATCAAACACTTACCAAATACAATAAAGTAGCAAAGAGAACTTGCCTCGTGTAACAACTTTCATAATGAGTGAGTACAGAAAAGTCTCACAGATGGAGACAATCACTAATGGCAAGAGTAATTCCCTGTTTCTCCTATTGATTAACAACATTCGTTTCTCATGGGGGTAATACAGTAATTTCCAGGGGTATGAGTGGTTTTACATATTGTGAGGTGTTTCTGACTATGTCCAGCTGTACAAGGAGTGCAAAAGAAAAGATGACGGTGTTAAATTTCACCGTTAACTTACAAGTGAAGATCTGCATCTTGTTCGCAAATTCAAGTGTACCCAAAGTGAAGATCGAGGGATTCAAGTCTATTTCCCTTAATTTTGAAATTAAATCTGGATTCATGACGAAATTTTGATATATTTGTAAATTGGTCTTCTTTTGGCATCCATCTCTTCCACCAGTTGCTCTTCTTCTTCCCTTTCCTCACCTTCATCCATGGAATTCAAAGACTTTCAATGGAGATTTTGAAGCTCACGAACATGTTCAATGGAGTAGGAAGATAAACCTTACCATTTGGGGTTAACCATGCCCTTCTTTCCCCATTTTTGTTAGGGTTTTCGTGAATACGGCGGCAAAGCCGACTGAAAGACAAAGGAGGACAATAAAGACGGAGGAGCACAAAGAAGATGGTGGAGGTGCGAGCTGAAGGACACGAAGGAGATGTGGTTGACAGCTTCAATGGAGGACGAAGGTGTTGGAGGACAGTAGAATGAGGAACATTTGATTACAATAACGGCATCCCACATGCAGCTGCTCATGCCAACTAATCATGTCCCACATATGTCTACTCATCAGCACAACAACACAAAAAAGTTGGAAAAAATTGCAAATATGCCACTAGAGAACCAAAACCCGTTTCTCATGAAGAGTAACCGGGGTCTCCTCAAAAATTAAACCTAAATTATACAGTAAAAGTAAGGATTCGTTTGACATTATTTTTTGTTTTAAGTTTTTTATTTTTAAAAATTGAAAATTGATTTCAGTTTTTGATTCTTTGTTTTTTAAAACTGTTTCTATTCCACCAATTTTGAGTTTGCAATTAACTCTTATGTTGTACTACTTACTTTTATTATTCGGATTTTTCATCAAATACTATTGAGTTTTAACATAATTTACCAAATACCTCCAACATTTTTCAAATTCACCATATAACCTTCAGTTTTATAAAAATATCACAACATGTCATTAATGACTAACGACCGTCAACACCGTTAGTCATTAAGGCTAGTAATGACACGTGGCACCTTGTAATTGGTTCCCTTTGAAATTATTTAATTTTAAAATAAATTATTTAACTAATTATAAAAAAAATAAAAAAGTACAGCCACCACCCTATCCCGACACCCCCCCCCCTTCGCCGGCACAAAATCCTACTAGAACCGGCGCGGAATCCAATCGACCGAACCCCTCACCGGCGCTCCTCCCATTACCCTGAACCACCGTGCCCACAACTCTCTTGAAAAAACCTAACCACCGTACCCGCTTCACTCGAAAAACTCCAAACCTCCCTTGAAAACCCATCCCCATACACTAGTAGAAAAAATAAAAAAGGCACCCCCTAATTGGCACCGGTTCAGTCCAAACCGGTGCCAAAAATGGCCTTAAAATTTGGTGGGAAGTTGAACCAGGATATATGGCACCGGTTCACTTCAAACCGGTGGCAAAAACATAAAAGGGCACCGGTTTGTAGTGAACTGGTGCCATTAAATATTAAAAAAAAAAAAAAAAAACCGGCCAATTAAAACCCCCCCAACCCTATCATATTCACTCATCTCCCCTCCTCTTAGCCGTTTCTCTTTCTCTCTCCTCTCCTCCTCTTTCTCGATCTCCTTCTCCTCCTTCTATTTCTCTTCCCTCATCTCCTTCTCCCTCATCTCCTTCTCCCTGGTGTCCTCCTCCCTTCTATCATTCGAAGAATTCCAACATGCAACACCGTCCTCCTTTTCTTTCAATCGATTTCTTGGTATTTTTTTTTCGATTTTTTTTTTACGATTTATGGGGTTTTTTTTTATTCGATTTCAACTTTGATAGATTTTTATTTTATTTTGATTATTATTTTTGATTTCTGGTTCTTTTTTATTCGATTTTTATAGGTTTTTTTTTCGATTTTGATTTATTTTTCTTCGAATTCTGGGTATTTGTTTTTCGATTTCATTTTTGGGTATTTGTTTTTCAATTTCATTTCTGGGTAATTGTTTTTCGTTTTCATTTTTGGGTATTTGTTTTTCAATTTCATTTCTGGGTATTTTTTCGTTTTATTTTTTATTTTCTGGGTTTTTAACTAATTTTCGATTTTAACTTTTTTGATTTCTTTTTTATTTTCTGGGTTTTAATTTTTTTCGATTTTAATTTTTTTCGATTTTCTGGGTTTTAATTTAATTTTTTCTTCATTTTCTGGATTTTCTGGGTTTTTAACTATTTTTCGATTTTCTGGGTTTTAATTTTTTTTCGATTTTAATTTTTTCGATTTTTTTTTAATTTTTTGGGTTTTTAACTAATTTTCGCAGCTAATACATTTTAATTGATTTTTTTGGATGAACTAATTGGCACAGGTATACTATTTGCTTTGCAAGGCCAAAATATTGCACGTAATCGAAGAATCAAGAATCAAGAATATTGATTTAGATGTTTGGGGGTATTTTTATTGTGATGTTGTAATATTTTTTTTATTTATATTGTAGTTCTTTTTTATTTATTTATATGTTGTAATTGTTTAATTTTATAATTCGTATATTGTAATTTTTTCTTGATTATATACTGTAAATTTTCGGTTATATTCAATGATATTCGATTAATATGTTGTTGTTCTTATTTATTTTAGTCAATTTGATTTTTAAGTGAAAAATGACAACAACAAAAAAATATTGATTTTTTGGGGTTTTTTGGCATCGATTAACCGGTGCCAAAAACTTTGAAATAATTTTCTGTGGGCTTCTTTGGCACTGGTATCACTACGTGAAAAAATGAATTTGGCACCGGTTTGAAACGGTGCCTTTTTAAACCCCTTTTGGCACCCCCCACATTGGCACCGGTTCAAACCGGTGCCTTAGGCCGGGTTTGAACCGGTGCCAAATTCATTTTTTCACGTAGTGATACCAGGCCACCAGTCGACGCCCAAACCTCCCTCCCCTGTGTCGACGAACGAATTCACCTCGGTCAAGTGCCATCTCTACCCCACTAAACCACCACGTATGCCGAAACCCTAAAACCAAAATCCAAGGATTTGATTTTATTGTCTTAGGGTTTCATGGTGGTGGTTTTCGTCAAGTTGGGCGGCAGCGACGTTGTGGGAGAGGGTTTGGGCTTCCGGGGAAGGAGGTTTCAGGGTGATAGGTGGGTTTTTGGCTAAGGTGGAAAGCTGCGGAGTGGTTGAATTCGGTGAAAGTGATGGCTGGGGATTTTGGGTACGGTGGTGGATGAGATTTTCGGCTAAGGTGGTGGTTGGGGTCGGGGTTGTACGTGTCGCCTTCGGGGGAGGGGTTGGTCGTCGGCCAGGCGAGAAGTGGCTGGGGTATGGTAGGAATTTTCGCCGCCGGTGGGGGCGGTGGTGGCTTGTATTGGTGGTGTTTTAAAATTTTTAAAATAATTTTTCTAAAATTAATTAATTAATGAAACAATATTAATAAGAATCAATTACAAGCTGCCCCGTGTCACAATTAACGTTAATGACTAACAGAGTTGACTGAAATGGCATGTTGTGACATTTTTAATTATAAAATTGAATGTTATAGGGTGAATTTGAAAAATGTTGGTGGTATATATTCGGCGAATTATGTTAAAACTCAATGGTATTTGGTGAAAAAACCGTTTATTATTTATAGGTACTAGAATGCACGAGATATATAAGAAAAGATATATTTAAAATATGGAAAGTTGATTTTGATGTTGTAATTTAGACTTGAGCTGTAATGGTCGATTTTGGATTGGTCGGTTCTGTTGAACCCTAATTAGCTCTGTTGTATTGAGTATTAATAATCTTATTAATAATGTACTGACACTTGCTGTGCTATGCTGAAATATGATATTCTATGCTTTGCTTAGAATCTCTAAAAACTGGGTTTTATTTTTTTTATGTCGGTGGCCAAGCAATGCTATTATGGGGTTTACTTTTTCAAAGGAGGCTACCCGTTCAGTGTTATAGGGGTTACTCGTATTACTCGGTTAGTGTCATATGAGTTAATGTGTTGCTGTAGGAGTTGCATAAATTGTTCTGTTGCAACTTGCAAGTAGTTATTTGCTGAGGCTAGTTGCACAAAAACGTGTTGTACCTTTTTTTTTTTGATGATTAAAGATGTGGAAAATGTTTGGAGGGTAGTCCCTAAAAAACATGCATAATTGAAGGGTTGGGGATTTAGAGTGCTACAGTGAATTGTTGATAAAAGAAATGTATACTCGTGCTAATGCATGACATATATTATACTATGTACCAAAAAAAATACTCATAAAACAAAGTGAAATGTTAGTACGTAGTGTTTAAAAAAAATGAAATGTTGGGAATTTTGAGTGCTATAGTGAATTGTTAATAAAGGAATTGTATACTCGTGCTAATGCATGTCATATGTTATACTACATACCATACCAAAAAAAAAACAAAGTGAAATGTTATTAGTAGTCCCTTGAAAAAAAAGCAAAAAGGAAAGAATGGGTAGTTATTAATTTAAAAAATTAAAAAAAAAAAGGAGTGAGATTGGTAGTTATTTTTATCTTTAAAAAAAAATGCATAAGAGTTGAGGGATGAGGTTTTGAAGGCTCCTCATTCACTGACTCTGCAATTATATATAAGATTACTTCAATCAACTATTACCCTCTCTACAAGTCCCACTCCTCAATAAAACTCAGTACCATTAACAATGGTGATAGTAAGAAGATTAAAAAATTGCCCCCGTATCCGAAAATTTACAATGACGATAGTACCAGCTATAAAAAAAATAGCCCATGGTGATGAGATAAAAAATTCACACTTTATCAAGAACCAAATCTCATCACTACTTTAGGCGATTTTATACAATGGCGTTAGGACTGAACTTTCATGAACCCAAATACAATAACCCAAAATAAATTGTATAAAAATTATACAAAGAACAATTATAAATTGATTTAAGAACAAAGATAAACAATTTTGATCAAAGAAATTCATTTCAACAACAAAATATAGTGAGAACAATGGGGAGATACGTATGGTAATTACAAAGGAATTTAAGATAAAAGAGAGAAAACGCTATGTAATTGCTTGCTCTTAGGGTTTGAGGAAGAAAGATGAAATATTGAGGGAGATATGAGTGTGGGTTTTGATAGTGTTTAATTTTTTAAAAAACAAAACATCAAAAACTGCTTTGAGATGTTTTAGGTTTTCTATTTTAGTTTCTCCAAAATTAGTGTAAAGTTGTTTTTTTAAGCTATTTTTACCAAACACTGTTTTATTTTATTTTGGGGAAAAAAAGCCAAAAAAATCAAAAATGGCAATGATGCCAAACACACCCTAATTTTTGTGTTTTCATGTATTCGTGCTAGGATGTGTTCTTCCAATTATACTAATTTATTTTATAAACTTTCTTAACAAAGTAAAAAAAAAAATATCATTGTTTTAAAAAAATCACAATTCCAACATAACATCATTATTTAATACGAGTATTATTTCTAAACAAAAACTAGCCTTTTGGCTTGTGCAATGCACGAGTTGTTTATAGATATACAATGTAAATACTTATTTTTTAATATATGTATATTGAAAAATGAATAATATATAAAGGAGAAGAAGAGGTGGAAATTAAATTTAATT